ATAGAAAGTCACAACATCATATTTCTGACGCTACTTTCCCATGTCTTGGGACAATTATAAATGTTTTTAAAGAGCTCCTTGGTCTAATGGTAGAATGTATGGTTTATATTTTTAATAAGATTTATAATTTCTTTAAAACTGTATTGTATGTATTTTCTGTAAGTCTTATCAAAATTACCCCCGCAGTACAGACAACTCTATCATAAACTTCCACAGGTACAAAAGCCGTGTAAATCAGTCTGTAGATTACCGAATATCCATAGCTAAAGATAGGACGACTGTGCATCTTGTTTGGACGTTAATTTACATTTCACGTTTCATTAAGTGAACTCTATGGCTGTCCATCAGCTATCACAAGAAAAATAATATACACAAATCTTAAACGCTGATAGTAACGACCTAATCAAATGTGAGATCCTCTTTACTATTAGACCATTATGACCCTGGGTTTGTCATATTATGTGCACGCCAATAAAACAACAATCATTAGATACTTAACTGGCATAAAAATAATACCATAGCCTATATTATTGCTTATGGTCCTATCACGGGGCAAATATGGTCTTTTTTTTAATATAAAGGAGGACAGACAAGCACATGGTTCACTTGATGTGAGGTGAAATAAATATCCCAGCCATATAATATCTAAGCAAGAGGCGCCGTCGACCAATTTCAGCTTTAAATATGCAGAAATCCACAGACTGAATCCGAAACGAAATTGGACTTCACGGTTTTTCATCTGTGGACGGTGGTTCGTGATCCAGACGGAATTTCGATATTCCCATCACCAATTTCATATCCAGATGTCCAAACAAAGTCCAACCTCTTTTAGAAGAATTAAAAATTGATTAGTACCATGTTGGACCTGGTTGGGATCGAATCCACGACCCGTTGATTATTGCCATACATTGCTACCAACAAGTCCTCTATCTATTTTGTGTGCCCTGTTTTTTCCTACCTATTGATCAAGATTGAGGCACAATCTGGTGATCCAAGTTCTATAGCGATCCCGGGATGCTTCATAATTGTATGTCAGTGATTTTACTGTGTGGTATTAGCCGGTTTAAGTCCGACATAACGTTTTAAATAAACATTTTAACGGTTTAAAATGCGATATATATTCGTTAAAATTATTTTTACACAGTAAACTAGCTTATTTTCTTCCTCTGGTGTAGTGAGTATCCGAGAGGATTTCCTCATGTAAAAAAAAACAGCCTGGCGATGGACAAATGGGATGTAAGACATACCTTTACTCTTTGGGTACGGAACTCCCAACCCTCACGACACCGTCACCAATCGGTCTATATCGATATTTTTGTGAATTGAACAGTTACCTTGACAATTGACTTTGATCTCTGCATGAAATCAGTCACGGAATATCAGCTTTATGCTCTACCAGGCGTCAAAAATCGATCACGATTTTAAAAGGTTACGCAAAACGAAACTGTTTTTTTTAAATATCGACTGCATCGTTGGTAATAACACTTCAATATATAATATAATATATTAGATTTTATATACCAGGATACGAATCCAGTATCGGGCAGAAAGTTCAGTATTTTTTGACAGAGAAGCATAGTGTTTACTGGACGGAAGATGATATACCCCAGCCATATAAAATCAGAACAAGATGCGCTGACTTATTTTCGGAAATCCACATACTAACCGAAACGCGCTAAATCCGTGGCCAAAAAGATTTCACCTATTTTTATCCAGATCAAGCAAGACTGGACGTGGGCCCGGATTTCGATTAGATGGTATTCCCGAAGAGCAAAACAAAAAAAAAAGATAAAATTTTGATAGTCAGAACTTTGACCACCTATTTGGAGCATATCCAGACGATAAGCTCTGCCGACATGTAAATAATAACAATGTTTACAATAAAAATCGATTTTGGATTTAAAAAAAATACAACACAACCAAGCTACCGTGTCATCGTCGAATTTTTTTCAACCTGCTACATGCACGTCTCGTGAAACGTAATTATATATTCTCCATATTGTTATTGCTTAATATGGAAGCAACAGCCCTGAACGCTTTGAATGCCGGTTCGACTTCAATTGATTTTTAATTAATATAATGTCATCATGACCAATACAATTGCTGTTTTTTTTTATTGTTTGGAAGGAATAATTAACAAGCTAACTCTGTACCTTATATAAATAAGGTAATAATGAAATTGAAACACTATATAAGTGCAATCTAAGAGATTTCTTCAGCAGTAGGATTACGTTAACAGACTGTTTAAATCGTTAACAATGGAATGTATTTCGAAGTTACATAAATACGATCACCTAAGCATGACGCTTTCATTGATTTGTTATCTCAAAAGGAGTTTAGTGTGCTATATTTTTTAGGGTTTCGTGTTAAAAGAGTGAAAAGGGCTTGCTGTCTAAAAGGCTTTATAATAAAAAGTGCTGAGCGAGATATAATTTTATTTTATAGATAGACTGTCTGTAGTTTACGTGAGTACAAATTTAAATAAAACACATTGACGGCCAGTTTTGCCAAAACCAATTTCGGAACAGATGGCGTAGCAGTTTTTAACTTTGACGTCATGGTGTCTATGCTCCATCTTTAGCCTCTTCATGACCACAGCTGCTGCAAAGCACCCGAAAGTTGGGATCGAACCCAACCCTTTAACCATACATTGCTGCTGCATGAGACCATAGGCCATCTCGCCATAATGGTATTATCTTGTTTCTTTATGATTTGTAGACACTAACATTTTTTTATATACGTATAATATTATCTATGAAGAACGTACAATGTAAATCTAGTTGAGTGAATATTATTAGAATAAAAAAACTCCTACATTCTCTGAATTTATTATAATTTCCCCCATTCTACCGTGTTCGATTTATAAATCTTGGTAACGCAGTCTCTCGAAAACCTTCCAGCAAGTTATCATTTCGAAATCACCGCAAAACACGACAAAAACCCATCAAAACAGTACTAATCCAGTTTCACACGCTGAGAGTGAAGTAATTATTGAACAACCGTACTTTGACGCAATTATAACGAAACAATTATTTGCTTTCGCGTCTTAGACCAATTTTTACTATTACGCAAATATTATATAATTATAGGAGAAAGTTTTCGTTTTAGTTAAGTAAGAATCAAATGTTCACTGTAATAGCTAAGGCTTTAGTAGAAGTTAATTAAACGGTTTATAATGCAAAATATATTCACAGTGTGCACGGCTGCTACAAAGCATTTGAAACTTCAGGCCGTTGTTAAAAAGGGTTAAAAATAAGCTCTCTAATATATTTCGCATTTTAAACGGTTAAAGTTTTTTATTTAAATGTGTAGTACCTACTCGAGTAAACTACAAACTATACTTATATGTTGTGAAAATAAAGCAAATTATAAAATAGCAGGCTTTGTATTGAGCGCCAAGTTTAGTTAAATTATAAAATTTTGTTCGTAAGAAATTGATGTAATTTCAACTATATGACGTCTAATTAGCGAATGCTTTAATATAATCATATTTTACCATTTTAAAATACCACAAACAAACAAAACTGTTTATCAGTTATATCTAAAACGGAATTCTTCACGCCATAGTTTAACGTTTGCTCTAAGTCATAAGCGTTTGTTATAATTTGTTGGTTAACTTAATGAATAGAACGGAAATAGAATATGTATAAGGCCGTATTTCACAAGTACTTACTGTACACAGTAGACAGGTACTAAGCTGTAGGTTGTCGTTTGGTAAATGGGACGTATCACCATCACGAAAAATAAAAAAAAAACACTATAACGGTTTAAAACGCGATATATTAGTTAAAATTATTTGAAAAAAAAAATGTAATAAATATTAAAATGTGTACTACTCGCGTAAACTATAGATAGTATCACGAAAAATGTTTGATTTAAAGTAAAAAAAAACAAACTTAAGTCCATCACATTATTAAAATACTAAACTTAAAAATAAAGGTGGATGTTTATAGATATATTATAAAGAACTCCAATGTTGATTTTAGCCAGTCCTTACTTAGTATGTACTAACTTACAACTTAAAAAGCTCTTACGATTCTTTTTAAAGATGGGAGCCGAGTCGAGCTCCTTACGATCCATGTTAGCTGAGAAAGTCTCATGCACGAATACATTAGTACATAGTATGTTCGCAATGTGGACGTTCAAGAGGTCGTGGACATACTGACAGCTAAACAAAACTCAAAGCATGTACAGATAACAACCGCTGCAACCGTAATGGTTAAGCCCCGACTGTACGACAGTGTTTAGAGCAATTTTTATAAATTTCTTTACTCCAGGCTGCAGCTGATCGAACAGCTGATCGCCTTTGCTCTTTGCATCAATCAAACCTGCTTCCACTTATCACTCGGACCATCCAAACATCGATTAAGGCCCACGATTCGTGTGAAAAGTAGCCATTGTCAAAAATGTCGAGGCTATTTTCTTCAAAGATAAAACAATACATTATTTACCGACGATTTGACTCGAATGCGAGGTTAATCAGAGGTTTCCACGTTTTTGAAGCAATTATAATATGAAGTTTCTTTGTCGCTTCCTATTTGTAATCTGACATTTACAATATCAATTTTGTTTTCAATTATTTCTTTTCCACTTGGGAAAGCCGTAGTAGTTGTGAGTCAAATAAAATAAATTAATGATGTATTAAGTTACAGTATGAATGTTATTGGAGTAAAATACAAAATTAAAATATCAAGACGGTAAGCGCTCACAGAACGCGATCCACCACCTGCTTGAGGGCGAGATTTAAACTTACTTTATACATCAAACTACGAGTATGTTCATCCCCGCAGGTGCTTCAAACGGCGCGGTTGCCATGGTAACTGTTAGCTGCCATTTGCTAAAAGTATGAAAAAAACTGACGTAAAAACAGAACCGTAACTCTTCAGGGCTGAAACCGAAACGCGATTATACTTTTGTCTTTAATATTTGTGCTTGAGTCATTAATTTAATATTTAGATCTTCGTTACATAATACTGAAATGCACTTTTGTTTGTCAACAGGAACATACGAAACACCTACTTAACCACTTATCAGAAGCGGAAAAGGTGTTATTTTTTGGCAGTAATGACGAGTGTAAGTATAAAATATTTAAAAAATCCACACCTGGACTTACAACAGACACCTAATCTGTTTAAAACCGTCCAAAGTTTTCTTTTATTTGAGCGTTTGACAGTATTTAATCTTCAAAATCAAAAAATAAAAATTGACTACTATGTTTTCATAAAGATAATAATGTATGTAGTTCTTTTTTTTAATTCGGTAGAGAGAATGAAAACTTATCTGTTCTTATAAAAAATATTTCTTGCTTCCGCAACTCACCCAAGCCTACTAAGAAACAAAATCTAGGTGACGTAAGAAATATAATTATTATCTCAACAGATCCACAGTTTGAGATAGCACATATAAAACACCAGAAACGACGCAAGCGCTCCTTGTCTAGCCAAGATCAAGATCTAATCACGCTAAAGAAGCATTTAAACATGAAGTTGAGCCCACGAAACAGTTTCCTGGACCCACAGTTTCTCTTGATGAAGAGGTGGTCGAACGGCACCGAAGTTATCTCGGATCAGCTAGCAGATGAAGAACTGGATGGTTGCTATTATAAAAGTGATAATGCAGCGCTGTTTGTTTGCGATGGGCTGGTAAGTAATATAAATCGTCTATACTATGATATCTAAAAATATATATATAGCCCGAGTGCATGTTTAAAAGTTACAAGAAGCTCAATACCACGATAGAGCACCGCACTTTCTTGGTTTTAAGTTGAAATCCTGTTACTGGGTTACTGTAAACTCCACCTACAATTCCAATATCAGGTAATCAAAAAAATACATATTACGTAAGATGTCTTCTAGACTACACACTTTTTTTAATATTTTTTTTTAGATAGTAGAAATATCATAGTTTATAATGATTCTACTGTGACTCTTATAAGTACTGCCATTAAATATTTGGTTACGTTACAGCGTGGACTGATAAAATCTAACGACAGCTATTACTACGTACACCCACTGCCCGAGAGATTTCACAACGAACACACAAAAGCCCACGTAATTATTAAACGACAAATAAATGAATCAAGCAACACAAGTGAAAAAAATGTTACCAGATGTATAGAAAGGGAGAAATTGCGACCGGATATAGAATCACCTGAAACTAGTAAATGGTCGAAACATAGACGGAAACGAAGTATTGACGCAACACCAAATAACAATGATCTTGTTAAGTTTAAATTAGATTTAGCACATAGAAATAAGACGATAGGAAGCTTCATAGAAAAACTCAAAACGGATGAGAGGAGACAAAAGAGGGCGGTACTGCCAGCGATTTTTGTGGAAACCGCCGTTTTCGTGGACAGGGATCTCTACAAGCATATGACAGTCAATTTTCCACAAGAGACTGAGAGGGAGTTAGTCAGATTTGTGTTAGCAATGATAAACGCAGTACAATTGATATACCACGATCCAAGTTTGGGTAGGCCAGTAAATTTTATCCTGAAGAGGCTTGAAATACTTCACGAGGATCCTTCCAATTTGAAGCGACCTCATGATATCGATAGGTTTCTTAGTAACTTCTGCACGTGGCAAAGGTTGGAGAACCCCCCGGGGGACAACGATCCGTTGCATTGGGACCATGCGTTGATATTGACTGGACTAGATCTGTATGTTGTAAACAAGAATGGGAAAGTCAGCAGTCAAGTTGTTGGTAAGTGCAATATACCTTGTCACAATAAGCTATTATAAATTTTAACGCTTTCGTAAGACTAATCAGCTGTTTCGAATCGGTAACATGTATTGAGCGAGGAAATAGAGTCTAAAACGCGAAATGTATTGTTTACCTTATTTTTCGCGTTTTGAACTGTTAGAATTATATTATTTTTAGGCGTAAAGCGACATACAATACATAACGCTATTTCCACATTGAACAGTGCTTCGTCGCTCCTATTGGTCGCAGTGTGATGTTTGATAGCTTCTTAAAGCCTTCCTCGATAAATGTACTAACTAACACGGCAATATATTACAAGCTTCTCAACTTTATAATAGACAGTGTAGACCACGGCAAAGTCACCATTGTTGTAAGCCCTTTTAAAATTTGTTTAAAATTATTTTAAAGCGAATATCGACACTCCTAATAATACTGTACTTTACTTTAGGACTTGCTCCAGTAGCTGGCATGTGTACAGTGACAAGCAGTTGCACAGTCAACGAAGGAAGGCACTTTGAAAGTGTATATGTTGTGGCACACGAAATTGGACATAAGTAAGTTAAATATAAACAAGTAAGTTTACTGAGAAGTCGTTCCTGTCTCAAGAAATGCCAAAGTCAAAAACATGGGTACACAACCGCCTTTATAGTTCCAAAACTCGTTGTTTAGTATTGCATTTATCACCAGAACTCCTGGATTCGAATATTTCGGTCGGACAGAACACAGAAGATAAATTGGATCCTAGTAAATCAAATCACTGACTCAAATATTTTGCCCAGTGCTCTAAAGAGTGAAGGGTTTTAATTTTAAATACAATACTCACATATGAATAAGTTTGACGTGTGAAAAACTGTTATTTTTCACTTGTGATTTAACTGAAAACATGGTGGTATATAAATCAATTTTAATTGAAAGTCTATGAAATGAAACACTTAGTAAGTAAGTCCTGTCTGTGTCGTATTTTTTTTTTCAATTTATAATCGATTTTAAATTATATAATGCCATAATATAAAGGTTGACATAGTATTAGTGTCGTATAGACTAGGTATCCATGATTCCTCTTTTTTCAGCTTAGGTATGAGACACGACGGTCCTCTGGCTGACAATGGGTGTGACCCAAGCGCGTATATAATGAGCCCGACGTTGGGCAGTGGGAAAATAACGTGGTCGCAGTGTAGCAAGAATTATCTAGAGAAATTTCTTGAGTATGTTATTTTTTATTATATGAGGATATTCGGGAATTTATAGACTGAAACCGAGAGGTCAATGAACTTAACGGTTTTTAACCGCGGTGGCATGACCCGCGCTTTTGATATTTCTACTCATTTATTATCCAAATTTCCAAACGAAGTCCTATGTTTCAGAAAATATTATAAATTGTTTAGAAATATGTTTATACACGGCCGATCTATAGACAATCGTTAGACCTATTATCACACTAACGATATCGCTTGCGACCACCGACGCCCGTCTAAGTTATGCTGTATTTTATTTCTACCTATATTCTAACTCCACTTAAAATTTAAATGATTTATTTCACCCTAAAATACACACCTTTAATTACAAAAAATATATAAAAAGTGGTTATATAATTCAAATAAATGTTTATTTAAATTACGACAAAAAAACAATTCATTTAAAAATCACCATTAAACAGTCGGCCTATTTTAGATCAGAAATGTTCTTAGTTATCATTGGATAAAAACTTGAATTGGTTAAAAAAAAAAAAAAAAAAAAAAAAAAAAAAAAAATTTTTTTTTTCGGCCCGGGGGGGGGGGGTTTTGGGGGGGGGGGGGGGCGGGGGGGGGGGGGGGGGGGGAGGTAAAAATTTTTTTAAAAAAATTTTAATTTATGTGGGGGTTTTTAAACCGTTAAAGGTTTTATGTGTACTACTCGCGTAAACTATAGACAGTATTTAGTAATATCACTGTTTAGTAATATAGAATAGGTACAATAATATTATCACTAAATTTATTTTTAAATACAACTGAACTCTGTCTTAGTCGCGGGGGTTTTTATTTAATGTTTACTGTTTCTGAAGACAACACGTTTACTTCATAGCAATTATGATTCAAATAAAACACTTTAAGGGTTTAAAACGCAATATCTATTAGTAAAATTATTAATTTTTTTAACTTTGTCAAACCTAAACGTCGGGCCGTAATCAAAAAAATTTCAAAAAAGTTAAACTGATATATATATCATGTCTTATGGGCCGATGTGAGCGAGAAGAGGTTCTCGACGTTTCGCCATCACGTGTGGACGGCATTATCAGGAGATGTTAACCCATCGGCCGAACAGCCCGAAAGACTATGCTGAACGATGGCTGGGAAAGTCTTACACAATTTATTAATATATATCGCGTTTTAAACCGTTAAAAGGTTTTATTTAAATGTGTACTACTGGCGTTGTCTACAGACTGTTTTTGTGAATTATAATGCCAATTGCAACTAAGGATTATAACATAACGTTTGTTAACCTGAATACAAAATGAATACTTATTTGTATTCAGCGTCTTGGTTTCACAAACGGAATAACAAATATACTCAAACCGTATGCCAAAGTATTACCATTTTAAATTACATTCGCATTCAGGTTACAAGATTTAAGTGCTTCGTAATATTATTTGGTAGATTCTTTAGAAACATTTAAATAAAACACTCTGACGGTTATAAACGCGAAATATATTAGTTAACTTGTTTACAAATTATTTTTAACCACGACCTGGCGTTTGCCTTCAGCAGCCGTGGTCACGGGGAGGTTGAACTACAGACAGTCTTTAGAAACAGTTTTTACTATTAATATGTAGTAGACACATTTGAAACACATTAAACTTTCTAAGCGTTTAAAACGCAAACAATAATCTTATGCAATTACTTATATTACAACGACCCGACGTATAGATTTTTGACGCGTTCGTTGGTGGGATGATAGCAATGTACAGCTAATCAATGGGTCATTTGTATTTTTTTCTAAATTTGTTGTTTTCTGAAAGATGTAGGATTTCATTGAAAATTTGGATATTAGATGGTTGGTAGGAAGGTAGGAGGTAGGAGGTATCCGTACAGTCCGTGGATGTTCGAATACTCAAAGACAAGATAGATCGGCAGCACATCTTATTAAGAGGTTATATGGATAAAGTATTTTCGCCTTTCTTGCTGTCCTCTATTATATAGAATTGTGTTTTAAAATAAGGTTCTCGTTTAATTTCGTATTAAATTTGTTTTCCTCTGTTTTCCAGTTCCTCTCAATCCAGATGTCTGTTAGACCATGGCAATTCAGCTGGACAACTGGATCACAGCGCTGAAGGTATTCTACCAGGGGAACGATTTGATGCAGATCAACAATGTAATTATTTTTATTTATTAATAAAGATAAAATCTTTCTCTAAGCAGAATAAATGTATTGCCAACATGTCTCTCCTTTAAATAAAACACTGTTAACGGTTTAATTCGACGATTTTAACGGCATATACGGAGTACGACGGCTGCTTCAAAGCATCCGAAACGTTGGGTAGGTAAAATAAATTGCATATAAGTTAGCTAATATATTTCGCGTTTTAAACCGTTAACATTATTATATCTAAATGTGTACTATTTTTCTATATATTTATTGGACTCTATATATTAATTTACGTTCTCTACTCCTCCGTAAATAAAGACTGGGGCATAAATAAAACCTCATTTTTTGAGGGTCCTTAAAGTTTGGTAAAAGTCCTAATCAATGATAAGTTCCTTGTGGTTTATTTCTGTAATGATCTACTGTGTAAAATAAACGCCTGATTAGATATTTACAGACAAGTGTATCTGTATCTTCAAGATTCGAACTTAGAACCTTTTGCTCTTAAATTAACCCACCGAAAAATAAATCTAATTAATAATGCTTACTATCTTAGGCATGTTAAAATATGGTCGGGGCAGCCGTCACTCGGGGTCACAGAATTTGGAGGACATTTGTCGTGATCTGCACTGTCAAAGGGAAAGATATACCTGGACTTCACACCCAGCTCTTGAGGGAACCAAGTGTGGTGAGGATATGGTAAGATAGCTCATCATCATCAGGTTGACTAGTTCTCACCAACTAAGTATACAGTTCTGCGTCTACTAAAGCAGTAAACTAGAGCCGTTCTTAAAGTATCACAAATATTTAAATGAAACACTTGTGATTTTAACGCGCCTGCTGCAAAACATCCGAAACGTCGGGCCGTAGTTAAAAATAATTTACAAACAAGTTAACTAAAATATATCGCGTTTTAAACCGTCAAAATGTTTTATTTAAATGTGTACTAATTGCGTAAACCACAGACAGTATCACAAATATTTTAGTGCATGACCGAGAATCGAACTCTATTAGGGGTCTTACAATTGGACCAACTTGTCTACAGTACAGCTAATAGCAAAAGAAAAATTTACCATGGGGCGAACATCTCTGCGATTTTATTTACAGACAAGTTGATCAATTATATATTGACGGAAACAGTTTATAGTTTTCAGCAGTAGAACCAATACCTTTAAGTATTCAACAACGGATTTAATTGCAAAAAAAAAAGAATTTAGAACTAGCTGTTTCAGCGATTTCGTCCTGAAACCGTCCGTCCATGGGCATCCAAATTCGTTTTTGCAAACCCCCCTTCACCTTTATAAACTCAAGCTGTTACCCACGACGTCGGTCGCCTTGTATGTTAATCTTAAAAGATAGACATATAGCGTCGCGGACTCTTTTCTAGATAATTTAAAAAGAAGCATTCTATAAAACATTTTTTGAATCATTTTTTATCCAAACATATTTAAATAAAACACTTTAAGGGGATATATTAGAATCGTATTTGAAGAGGAAAAAAAGACCCCCGCCCCCCAAAAACCCCCAAAACCGGGGGCCGAAGGAAAAAAAAAAAAAAAAAAAAAAAAAAAAAAAAAAACGCTTTTAAAACCGTAAAAAGGTTTTATTAAAATGTGAACTACTCGCGAAAACTATAGACAGATAAATACAACGATAAATAATTTTTCAAATTGTTTCACTTTTTTTACAATATCTTCACTTCTATTAATCACATAGCGATGTTTTATAGCCTTCCTAGATAAATGCTCTAACCAACACAGAAATATTTTTTCAATTCGAACCTATAGTTGCTGAGATTAGCGCCTTCAAACAAACAAACTCTTCGTTCGGCTTTATAGAAAAACAATAGGAAATGGAATATTAAAATACAATTACAAAAAAAAAACTATTGCAACGGTTAAAAAACGTGAAATATTAAGTTAATCATTTAGAATTTAATTTAACTACGGCCCGTGGTCACGGGTACAACGTCGAATCAAGGTTAAAATAAGGTATAAATAAATTAACCAGTAAATTACAGACAGTACTTGTATCTCATTACTTCGCTTCATAATGTTTATTCTAAATTTGTAAATGAGATATTTTTTCCTACGTTTATCATTAAAATTTATCTAGACCATTGTAGGTAGTAAGATAAAATTGAATTTCTAAAGCATAGGCATATTTCACATCGTCCCCTATCTGTCAGGATGGCCGAGCGGTCTAAGGCGCCAGACTCAAGAGTAATCTTGCCTGTTAATACAGGCTGAGCTGTTCTGGTCCTCTCTGAGGGCGTGGGTTCGAATCCCACTTCTGACAAAACTTTTTATTTATTTTTTTATTACCAAGGGTAATAAAAAAAAACGTACGTAACGTAATTATGGTGTTCACAGCGTCTTTTTTCTAAATTTAATTTTTTGTATTACATATATTTTTATTTATGGCATACAATTTAATCATTATTCTAAGCAATACTAGCTGTGCCAGCAACTACATCCGCGTATAATAGTTATTCTTGAACTGTTTTCACACGCAACATAAGTCCTCAAAGAAAGTAAATTATTGTCTCTGCTTATGCCACATTTTGGTCGCAGACTGACGCTGTATAGCCTAAAACCTTCCTCGATAAATGCTCTTTCACCAAATAACATTTAAATTCGAAACAGTTGTTCCTGGGATTAACGTACCCAAACAAACAAATGAAAACAAACTCTTCAGCTTTATTTTTCCTCCAGTATTGCCGTGGTGGAGAGTGCGTGGAACGCTGGAGTGGAGTAGCGCATAAAGATGGCCGCTGGGGTCGCTGGTCCCACTGGTCAGACTGCGCATCTGCCTGTCTGTTAGACGATGCGCATGCGCCGGCAGCGAGCGGTGTAGCTATTGCTACTCGTCGCTGTAATAGGGGCAGGTGAGAGAGAACTTTTCTATTTTTAATTTAATTATAATTTTGAAGAAAACCAAATGTGTTCATTTGCTTCATTATAGTCTTTAATCTTCCTTAATAATATTATAATATTCCAGCGCTTAGCGTATGTTTAAAAAACAAGTCGGCGTCACGTAAACGTACGTTACGACATAACAATTATATAATACAATATAAATCCTATGCTAGTCTGTATTATATGTATGTATAATGAAAATAATGTTAAAGTAAATTATAATTTTTTGGTTTCAGAAATGAAAATGGTAAAAGCTACTGCGCAGGACACGATAAGAAATATCAATCCTGTAACGCGCATCAAGTAAGTTTGAATTTGGAACGCAGTTAAATAAAATTTAAAATTTTGAATAAGGAAGATGAGCTCAAGTTATCAAACTCTTATGACCCCAAATTAAAACCTTTAGATTCCAAAAAACATTCCGCTAAAAGCAAGCACATTACGACGACGAAATTACGACGGCACAGATGGCGCTAACATTGCAGTTTTTACTTTGACAATAAAGAAAACCTGCATATTAAGTCTCCCAGTGAACACGCTTAACTAATATTTTTTTGCGTTTTAAACGGTTAAACTTTTTAATTTAAATATGTGTTTAATTTAAATAGTCTTTGGAACACAGTACAATATAAACATTTTAAACCCTTTGACAATTTAATACCTTAATAACACTTAATTTTTTTATTCTTAGGGTAAGCGGTTTTGGCTAGTTCGTGTAATGGTAGCAATGTAAGATTAATAAACAACGGTTCGTGGATTCGATTCCCACCAGTCCAAGATGTTTTTAATTTTTAAATTTACAATTTTTCTGAAACATGTTGGTTATCGTCCGGAAACCTGAATACTAAATGGGTGGTAGGAATATCGAAATTCTGTCCGGGTCACGAACCACTCACAGATGAAAAAAGCCGCGAAGCTTAATCATGTTTCGGTTTCAGTCTGACAATATTCGGATATCTAAAGCCAAAATGGGTCGACAAAGCATCTTATATATTTCACCTGCCATCACGTGAACTATATTATTAAAAAAAAAAGAATTAATTATGTTCTTTTTTACTTCCAGTGCAACAACGTCCCCCGAATGACAGTCCGCGAATTTACCGATCAAATATGCTCCAGAGCTCGCGAAGTGGACCCAGACTTGATTGGAACTGGTCTCCAAAGACTGGATGCTGATGGTAAGATAATCCTTGTACCTTATTAGTCAGTTATATGCAGTTATTAGCAAGTATTATTTCGTACGTAATTGCTATTTTTAAGAAGAGAATATAATACAAATACCTTTATTAAAAAAACAACACAAATTTTCAATAATGAACTAATATTACAAACATACTATAGAATTATAAACATAATGTTGTACGACTAAATACAGTTAAAATTAAATAGTACAATTGTCTCTGAAAAGGGAGTCCACTCAGCTCGCACGTTGGGACTAATGCCCCAACACTGATATTCTGTGGCCCCTTCAGAGGCCAAGCTAACGCTAGCGATACAGTTTGACATTAGGTATCTTTTATACATACACACTTAACACAATCACATTTATTAAGAAAGATATATAATAAACAATAGTGTTAGCTTAACTTTTAAATAAAAATACTTACATTTTTTCACTTAAGTTACACGAAAGATTTTAATTTATGTGTTTTATTAATGATTTTTTATGATTCTCTTTCTAATGTTGTACTAGCATAGTTCTATTTTCTATTTTTACTTAAAAAACTTTTTACTTAAATTACTATTATATAACAAAATTTCTACTTAACTGAAAACAAAAGTTATGGACACTAACTATAAACGAATTATAGTCATTAGGCATGACATAAACTAAGTCTTTTATAGTACGATTTCCTTCATAATCTCCTCATAATTTTATTACGTTTATTTAACCATCTTTCAATGAGATGACTATATTTACTTGGAAACCGCATGTCACGTTTGTTTGTGAAAAGTTAAGAGCTATATTGTGTAAATTAAGTCTGCTTAAGTCCAAACTAAAATATTCGACTCTAAGGCTTATATATAATGCGCTAGCCGATTCAGTAATCGGGTATGGACTCAGCAGCTACGGGAGGACCTACAAGACCTACCTGAATAGCATTTACAGGATACAGATCAAAATATTAAAGACGATAGCACCGAGGGTCTATAAAAATTGCAATAGTAAACATGAGCTATTTGAAAAATGCAAAGTAATGCATATCTTCAATAAATTTAAATTTTTTTATTTATGCGAAGAAATAGGGTATATCCAGGAATTAGAAGTTAAGAAAAGACCTGATAATTTAAGACCCCTCCATTATTTGCCTAGATATGTTCTGCCCCCTTTTAACAATGCTTACGGAAAGCGCACACGCACTTATGTATTGCCCTTGCTTCTGAACGAGTTAGATGAACACACGCACAATAAACTAGTAAAAGATCCGGGAAGAAGCAAGGCGATTCTTAAGCCGTTTTATATCTAGTTTTATATTTAGTTTTATATTTAGTTTTATATTTAGTTAATAATGTTATATTGTTTGCCTTTTTTGTATTGTTAATTTTTAAGTTAATTTTAGTTAAAATAAGTTAATATTGGAGTATATATGACCCGAGCAGAAGATAAGAAACCGTCATAACGGTTTAAAAAAAAATGTTTTTTAAATTGTATTATAGATTAGTGTTGGTGTACAAAATAAATAAAAAAAAAAAAAAAAACTTAAAGTCTTCATAGACGTTTATTCAACTTCTCGCCTGAAGGGGGAGGACTCATTTTTTGGTTTGCCAAATACGATAGATGATATAGACTAATGCCATCCTATGCACAACGACACCTATATATTCTCAGGGAAATAAGATGTAAGATTACCAATTTCCTTTGGGTAGCTGCCCTCCCTTGCGCCCATCATAAGTACGCTTACCTTCAGGTTATGATCTCTTGCTATTATTTATAGGTAGATCAAGTGATATTCTAGGCAAATTTCCTATTTTGGATTTTACCAGTTACAGAATTGTATTTACCTTGCAGACGTCAGCAGCGCGTGCGCAGTTTGGTGCGACACGAGAGGCGGTGGATACAAATCGCGTGGCTGGACCCTTCCAGATGGCACGTCATGTTCAAGAATGTCTCCAATGTTTTGTATATCTGGAGTTTGTAAAGTAAGATTCTTAGATAATGTGTGTGTTTTTTTTAATACGTAGAAACCAATTTTAGATTTGTGGGACATGGCCTACTACATTTTGTCCGTTTCACTGATTGACTAACTATGGCAAGTAGCTTCTGTGCCCTGTCCGACCGAAATTGTTTTACCGGCATTTAAACACAGGACGATTGCGTTTGTACATATTTTTATTATTAATGTAGTCTGAAACATTGAATTAAATTCAGAAGGCCGTCATTAAAGGAACCATAACATTTAAAATATGTCAAAATTGAAATACCAAACACCCGTTTGAGGAAGTGTGATAATAAAAACGTATTCTTTGATATTTTCAAGAAATTTACCTGCGGTTCTGGTTCTGATACGGAGTTTTCCCTGAAACCTTCGGACTGTGAGTGGGAAAATCTACAGCTGCAAACCGCGACACCACATACCGTATCGTAAGTTACCCAAAATCCTATTGATTAAGATATCGTAAGGCTTTGGCTGTGTTTGGCAGTTAACTAATGAGTCGTGGGTTCGATTACACAGCGTAATCTTTTAAAATACACGTAAAAAAATTTAAACTATTTTAACTAACGCTGTGTATGCCGGTTTGAGTCTTGCCTGTGTCGTATTTTTTTTAAACTTATAATCGTTTTTTAATTTATATAGTTTTAATAAGTCTGGAGAATGTATATATGAAATGGGTGGTAGCTTATTGACAGATCCCTCGGTGTCCACAAAACGTAAAAGCTGTGCCACCAAAAACTTTACAATTTTTTGGTGGCTTCTAAAAAATAGGTCAACTGCGCAACTTGTCCAGATGTCCAAGTATAGCTTGGGTATATGGTTATATACCATCAAGTAGACTCTATGCAGGTCTATCATCGATCGATAAAAATATTCCTATTTAAATGAAAGTCTTAAACGGTTTAAAACGCAAACTATATAAAAGAGACTAAAGATAGAGTCGAGGACACGTCGAGCCAGCGTTATAACATTTTGTAATTAAATTTAACTAATATATTTCGCGTTTTAAACCGTTAAAGCGTTTTAATTAAATTTGTACTACTCGCGTTCACTACAGACATTTTTTTTAATTTTCCTGTTTAAATAAAACGGTTTTAATCGCGAATTATGCGACTTAATTTGACCTGTAATAATACACTTGGTTTAAACCGTTTAAAAGTATTTTATTCAAATATTTACAAGTCGCGTAAACTACAGACAATACTTATTATTTCAGTACAAAAACGTCTGGTACTTGGCGAAGGGCAGTCGGTTCCCAATGGCGTGCAAAAAGCGGGTGTCACTATCGCTGCATCGCTGGTGGTACAGGGCTGCGTTTAGTACAATCGGCGACAACACATCGCGACAACATACAGCTCTGCCAGCCTGACATCGCAAGGCCTATGTCGGTTAGTACTAACCGGTAGATTAACAGTAATAAGAGTGTAATACCTCGTGGGGCATAGGGCAGACACATTTCTGTGCCGCTGTTTAAGGAAGCCTCTGCCTCATTATGTGTACAGACACATATACAGTCGCTGCCTCATTTGTGTACAGACAGTACTTCATAGTATTTTTTTACTTACCTAACCTATGCTGTATTATATTCAAGGGTTGCAGTCAACGCATGAGTGCATACCAATATGCGACGATGGTGTGCAGTAAATATAAGGAGAGAGTAAGAAGACTTTCCGGCTTGGGTATGCAAATATCACCAGCCTTAGGTAAGCCTTTTGAAGATTTATTTTAAACGTGATTAAAAGCAAGTTTCACCCAGAAAAAATGATCTCGGTTAACGAAGTTGACGGCGACATCTAACGTAGCTTTGACAGTCAGTTAACTTTGTACGGTTAATTCGTACCTACAAATATCGCTGTGTTTAGTCTTTGCATGATACCTTTTATAGAGTGGATTTGTTGTCACAGGTGATAGATGACGAAACATGCATTATATGGACAAAACGACTTGAATATTGAAAATCACTTTCAAGAGGACCTTTTTTTTATTTTATGACAGCATTATTTAATTCAACGTTTTTAACGCTAAGTGAATTTGACAAAAATTTGAAAAGTACGATAGTTTGTTTCGCTCTTGGCCATTTCTTTTGTGCATACTTAATGAATACTTTTATCGCTCTGCAGAAGACCCAGATAGGCCCTGTCGTATCGCGTGTCAAGATGAACGCGTCAGTCATCGATTCTACTTGGTAAACGGACATGAGGGCTGGTTTCCACTGGGTACCTCTTGTGGCAAGAATAACGCGTCTTATTGCGTCAGTGGCAAGTGCTTGGTAAGTGGTTTCAACAAGAAAAAGGGGCGGGGCAGAAGACAAAGTTGGTAGAAGGAAAAACTACCTTAAACATTATAGAAATTCATTTAAAGAACTTTCTAAAATTGATATAGTTTTATAATGCTGTGCCCGCAACTTCGTCCGCGTGGAATTGTTATTTTCTTTGAGCTGTTACTTTACAAAGTAGCCTTATAAGTTATAGCTGTTACCCACGACGAGACCGTCGCGGACATTTTTTTAGATCATATTTTAAAGAAAAATCTGTCATACATCTTTTTTGGGCTTGAATAATTTTTCCCGGTTTTCTCCACTTTTCCGTCTGTTTCAACACTCTTATTTGTCGCAACCTGAAGCTTTTCTTTCTAATAAATGGTCCAATCAATAAATTTTTTTTCATTCGACCAGTTATTACCGAGATTAGCGCATTAAAGCAAGCTATCCAGCTTCATAATATTATATTAGTGTCGGACATCTTACAAATTGGATGCAGCAAGTCTCTCGTTAGATCGCATATACTAATATGATATCATCTTTGCAGGAATTCGGACCGGACAACACCCCTTTATCAGAATCAGTCTTCACGCTGCCATTATTAGGTCGTAACAGCACGCGTCGCTCTTCGCGGCACAAGCGCAGCGTTCACAGAGACAGAATCACTGTTAAAGCAACACTCGACAGGAAACAAATTGAGAATATTATTGCTAGACTGAACTTTACCAGTAAGTTCCTCTGACTAATATGTACAACTCCGTGCTTTGGATATTCATGTGTATGTAAGCCTCGTAAAACCCAAAAGTGATTTAGATAATAAACCAGACTTTAGCTTTTTGTAATATTTGTAATGAAAATTTTAACCAGTCTAAACACCGACATCTTTCTTTATTATGTATAGTCATCACAATTCGGAAACTGGAGTCATGACTTTCAGTAATGTCCTACAGCTCTCTCTAAAACGTCTCCTATTTTCTAAGAGACTTTTAACAATAACCGTCACTTAATTAATGTTGATAACCCGGGAGCAATGGTTTTACCTTCCCCCCGAAGTAAAAGATGTGTATTTCTTATTTCAATAAAACACTTTAATGGTTTAAAACACGATATATATCAGGCCGTGAAAACGGCTGCTGCAAAGCATCCGAAACGTCGGGCCGTAGTTAAAGTAATTTTTGAACAAATTAACAAATATATATCGCGTTTTAAACCGTTAAAGTGTTTTATTTAAATCACACAATATTTCTTAATTTTTCAGACAAAGTAAACGAACATCTGTCATACATGGACGAAATACCAGACAAAATTGAGTTGGATTTCAGTAACCCCATACATATTGCACCGGAGCAGACTTTACTTAACAAAGTTCATCGACCGACGTGGGATTAAGATAACACGAATTTAACTTGGTCGAAATATCCCAAAGACATAAAAAAAATAAGTTACTTGTGACGGTGAATTATAACCAATTCTGTTTAAAGCAACGGCCGGTTAGATTTTAATCAACGTCATTATTTTTGATGAAACTCGGCCTTATATGTACAAATTGTGAATCCCTTTTCATAATATATTAAGTACTGAATGTCAAAACCCACTTTACCAATAAATTAGTAAGAAAAGCTAAGAAAATATTAAGACCGAAATCATAAAATATAGTTTTTCTTTTTGTTTACACAAAATGGTGCTACTGTGTATCGGATTTACCGATTTTAGTCACTTATCGACTACAAGAATGTGATGTTATATTTATTTGTAATGAAATGTTAGTTATTCCTATTTTTATTAAATAAAAAAATCTTTTCTATGCCCCGTTTTATTATTAGACTTAAAATCAATGATGTTTAATTTCTTAAGTAACGGTGGGTTAAATAAAACAATTTAACGGTTTAAAACGCGATATATTAGTAACTTTATAGATTAGTAACTAATATATCGCGTTTTAAACCGTTAAAGTGTTTTATTTAAATGTGTACTACTCGCATAAACTATAGACAGTATTTAACGGTGGGTTACTTTAATCGATGTCTTTATTTCTCAGTGAAAGTATGCCTAAGAATAACGTTTTTTTTCCATGACATGAAATGAAAATCGTCTTATCTATTATGTTTTTATATTGCAACACTTGAACATTATTGTTTGAATTCGAATTTATTTTAATAGAGCTAGTAAACGTTTTGTATTAAAGCAAGAAGCTTGTTCTGATCTGTTAGGAACCACTGCCACAGTTTTCTGAGGTTCTGCTTGTCACCATTCTGTATCAAAAAAAGGATAATAAATATTAGAGGCACATGTTTTATCATTACAATAAAATGTTGGCACCACAAATAGTTTTCCATGGAAATGGAAACAGCATTTTTTTTTTTTTTATTTTGGAAAATGCGATTGATAGTAGGTATGATGGAATCAACTGGGGAGGGAGAGGAATCTAGATTCTTTCCCCTCCATGATATTATGATGAGTTACCACGATGTGTAGAATAACAAATTGATTCACTTAATAAAATTAGTAAAATTTAACAAGGACACTAGTCTAAGGAATTTGTATCCTCTTTTATATAAACCTTTTCAACGGTTTAAAACGCGAAAAATTTTAGTCAACAACTAATCATAAATATTAAACCGATAAACTAAGTTAACTAACATATTGCTTGTTTTAAACTGACATAAGTGCTTTTACTTAGACTTGGAAACTACTAAAAAAGTTATACTTGCTTTTGGTTCTTGATTAAAAGCTTCTAACATATTTTTTTTTAATTATAGGTAGTCTTTTAAAATAAACAATATAAAAACAATAATAATAAACATAAAAAAAAAAAAAAAAAAAAAAAAAAAAAAAAAAAAAAAAAAAAAAAAAAAAAAAAAAAAAAAAAAAAAAGGGGGGGGGGGGGGAAAAAAAAAAAAAAAAAAAAAAAAAAAAAAAAAAAAAAAAAAAAAAAAAAAAAAAAAAAAAAACACAAAAAAAAAAAAAAACTATAAAAAAAAAAAAAAGTTTTAAAAAAATCCCTTAATTTGAAAAAAAAAAAAATAAAGAAAAAGGAAAAAATAAGGGGTGGGCGCGGCCGGAGTTGCGCATCGAAATAATCAATTTGCAAATAGTTTAAACCTAAGTATAAAAATAAAGTTACAAAGTTATTAAGTACTCACCTTGACGGAAGCAAATTGTGCCGTAGTCGATTTCACTACAGCATCCACGGCTTCTATTTCATGCAGCAGCGCATGTGACATCGAAGAGACTTCAGGGCTGTAGCAGTTCGCGGCACGGGTGCAGCCGTCCCATATAGCAGCTCGCAGACTCGCTTGGGATTTCTCACTGTGAATTATTTTCAAGAAACTTAAAGTTACTATTGTGTGTGTAGGGCATATTTCAGGATATATTTTAAAAAGTAAAGGCAAGGCAAATTGTGTATTAGAATACAATTATTAATTATCTTTTGAGATTAAAAAAATCTGACGATGGGTCTTATACATCTAGAATGTTGCTACTGTTAACAATTAAACTACCGTGTCGTAGCAAGCGGCCTATCGTGGATGGAGTCTGCCTTATCCATTTCGTGACGAGATACGAAGATATTATTTTTAAAAACGCTCTTTAGATGGTTAAAGGTATATTTATATATTTCAAACCACAAAGTCTACAACGAATTCGATCTTCGATTCGGAGTACCACAGTTAAGTTAGCCGCTACTACTAGGCACTGTCGAAACGACGAAACTTCACACTTCTTTACGCTGTCAGTTGACGTCCCATACTAATGACCGTTCATACTTTGAAAACCTTATTATTATTTACACAATATATAAATTAAAAATAGAAAATAAATTGAAAAAATTCACGACTCAGGCAGGACTTGAACCGGCTTCACCAGCGTTCCGTGCTGTTGCTTTTACCAACTGAGCTACCCCACAGTCCCACACCTCATCGTCGAATTTTATCAATCTATTGACTCGTTCAGACTTGTCAGTTGACAGCCCATAACAATGACCGTTCCAACGAAATATATAAAAGTTACACTTAACACTGAAATTACTTACAACTTATTTAAGTCCATTTCTTTCTCATTGATAACACCAATAACATCGTTCCTTAGTATTTTAATTTGATTCTTAACATCCTTGTATAGGCCTACTAAGGACTTAGCTTCCAATTTCTTCCCAAATATGGTATATAAAAATGACAGGAGTCTGTCATTATCTTGGAACCTCGCTTCAGCTTGCGCCTGTTCGTAGCATATACTTTTCATAGATTGCTGAAATTCAGATATATTACGTTATTAAGCCTTTACTAATAATATACATAAGATTTTCAATAAAACAATAATATTCCGTAATGCATGGTAGAAGTATTAATAATAATATAAAATACAATAATATAGTCTGTAGTTTATGCGAATAGTAGGCATTTAAATAAAACACTTATAAGGCATCCAAAACGTCGGGCCGTAGATAAAATAAATTAAAAAATAAGGTTTTCTAGTATATTTCACGTTTTAACCCGTTAAAAGTAAATACAAAAGTATTCTAAGCCAAAAATGTATTTAAAATATTATAAACAAGATGGCTACCGGAAATAGATCAAAATTTTAAGATGCAGGGCGCTAAGGGGCGGCCCTCTTAAAATGTTGATTAAACTTCGTAGACACATAGGAGTTTTATATAGTTTGATTATATATTTTTATTTTAAAATAGAGACAAATTAAAAATTTTGTTAAAATAGATCTCATATAAGATGTAGCCAAAAGTTTTACTCACAATACGACTAAACACTGCGTCTCCTTCTTGCATAACACAACTCCTCAAATGAGAAGCGAACTGCAAGATCTCTTCTATCGAAGCCAGTTCTCTTCTCAGGCCATAGTACAGCAATCTGTCCAGGGCTAACGTCTCTTGTGTTTTGCTCCAAAGCCATTTGAGGTTATTTTGGATTTGTCTAGAATAATATAGTATTATGCAAGAATTTTTTTATTTAATAACTAACTGTGCCCGCGAGTTCGTTCTCGTGCAAAAGTGATTTGTAGTAGAATTTTTAATTATTTAGACTGTTTATTAATTTACGTAATTGCGCATTTATCGCAGCCAATCCATACTCACTCCCTCTCCCACTCTCACTTCCACGCCCAGCCCCGCTTCTATTCCCAAAAAGCCAAAGAAAAAAGTTTCATTGTTTTAGCTTAAAAAACCACGAATTTCCATACCAACCTTTCACCCCCCGCTTTTAACCCCTTACAACCCCCTTTTCGCAATAAAAGCCTATGCCTATGTCCTTTCTCAGGGTCTAGACCATCTGTGTACCAAATTTCATTCAAATCCGTTCAGTAGTTTTGGCGTGAAAGAGTAACAGATAGACAGACAGGGATTACTTTCGCATTTATAATATTAGTAAGGAAGTGATTTGTTATTACAAGCTACTGGATACCTATAAAATGTAGCCTTGTAGGTAACAGATATAAGAACAATAGTACTAACACTTAACAAGTTACTCATAAAACAACTTACAGTCTAACTTCCAATGCAGTCTTTGCAGCAACCTCCTCCACAACTTGAGTACGTCTCTGCACAAGCTGTTTGCCTTCATGCAGCAGCTGTTGTTCTATCAGAGTCTCTTCTTGTTCCAACATCTCTATATTGTTCTTTATTTCCATCACAAATATACTGAAATATAAGTATATATAAATAAAATTTATATACAAACAATAACAATAAAATAGATGATGAAAAAACAAAAATATTTTTGATTTTGAAACTTATGTGTTTTGCATTTTAACCGTTAAATGTGTTTTAATTAAGTCAAACCTAATAATAATATCCTGTGAACTAATGTTTTATAAAACACTCGTCAGTTTTTAATGAATACATATTCATGTTTGACTTAAGAACCGCTTTGGGGTTTTGGATCAACAATTGAAGTCTACTGCATTACTTCACATCAAATGCTGACTATTTCACCTTTAATCATTGTTAATGTTACGTTATTCATTATATAAGCTGATTATATTCCATTCCTCTAACTGTTCTAAACATTAACAAAATCATATTATCTGCGACTAATACTTACTCTGAGTCATTGTAATTGACTTGATTATAGTTTGTGACAAGATCTAACTTCGCTCTCTCTCCGCACAAAGTTGCTGTGCTATCCACGCACGCCAGAATAGCAGTTGATAGCCTGAAATTAAGAATATTGACTGTAAAATTATTTACCACGGCCATTGGTTTGGTGTTCGAAAATAAAATATTTAACCTATAAAGAAACGGTTAATAATGTAATAAATAAAAAAAAATAAATAAAAAATAATACAAAAACTAAGAAATAAGAAATCTTTTTAAAGTAACTTTTGATATTCAATGTTGGATCGTCAGTATGTCTCCTGGTGGATCTCTTGAAACCTAAACCTGCACCAATAACCTGAAGGTAGTAGTAATACATACCTCTCTTCTAAATTCTTCGCCTTGATAATAGTCTTTAAAATTTCCTCATCTTTTATCATGCCCTCAGTATTTTTTAACTTTTTTGAACAATATAAATCGAAATGAGACCGAAACAAGGATTGCGACTGATTATACTGTTCAAAAGGGCCGAATGCTAAGAATTTATTTGCAGTATCCTGAAAATTAAGATATAATACTAAATTAATTAAACTTTAATTCATTTCAGAATTTTTTTCACCATGTTAATAACAAATGATAACGTTTGAAAACATTAATATTGTTTACATGTTTTTGCACGTGAAGGCACCATATAATTTCAAAATCGAAAATAAATTGAAAAAAATTTCGAACCGGGCAGGACTTGAACCGGCATCGTCAGCGTTCCAGAGAGAGCAACAGCACTTTTATTATCAAAAGTTGTAGAAAATGATCTAGCCAATACCTTGTCCTGCTGACAATTATAAAATGTCTCCAGAGTTTCAGCAATGATGCCCATTATATTATTTGTAATAGATTCTACTTCCATTGACATTCGTAAACAGTCTTTCCCAAGAGTGCTCACTTCTTCTGTGTACTGCTGTTCTGCAGCTTTTAGATTTGTAATTTCTATATTTAACTCTTTTTTTATTGTGCTGAAAACAAAATGTTTTGAAAGATTCTAAACAAGTTCTAAATCAAATGCCAGGATGTACATAACAGCTTCAATTGCCTATTATAATAAATTGAATTAAAAGTTTAGGATAAAAATACAGCTATCTACACATTTCATTGTTGTGTATATTTAGTGCCGCAAACCTTTTTTTATCAAAATAAAAATGATTGCTTATTAGTTTTGTTAAGCTGTAAGGTAGTAAAAATAAGTCATTGTATGGTACAGTAAGTTTTATTAATAGTACTGTAAGTAATAATAATTTTTTTCTGCTTTTACTTCCGTCCAACCTAGAAATAGTGGTTTGTATAAAACAATGCTAGCCTAGTAGACTAATTAATTTTCGTTCTAGGATCCAATGTCTAAAAACATGTTTGTTTGTGTGAAATAACTAATGTTTGACAAGTATACATACATATTATTCTCCATCATTTCTTCTAACATGATTTCCTGCCTTTTAAGCATGCTCAATCTCTCCTTGTCCATTTTAATATCCATTTTGACATCTTCAAGTGCTTCTTGGTCTCCTGGTAAACAAATATCCTTGAATTCATCTTGCAACTCATTTAATGCTGCTTCGAGTTCCCCCGGAGGTAAAAGACCACCCGTCCTTTCTAATTCAGCATACCTTTAAATGAATTTACTAATCATTATAGAGTATAATTAACTAACGATAAATAAGTGTAGAAAAGTAATGTAAGTGTTGAGCAAATAAAATAATATTCTTAAGTTATATCTTACCTACATTCCTCTCGATCACTCAAAGCATTATTTCCATCGATGTTCTCATAAATCCACCTTAAAACCCCAGAAAAATCTGGATCATTCAGGATCCATTCGAATGATTTGTTATACGTTTCTACTCCTAAACCTTTGAGGAATGGCACAAAGTCTTCATCAGATATATCGTAAAATTGGTTCATTCTTAATGTTTCGTAAAATATATTTGTTGATTGTTGTTTAGAGATAGACAACCAAGTTTAACACATATAATATATAAATCATTTATGATCCGTTATAAAAATATTTAAATGTTTTCCAATAACTGAGGCTGACAACATTGACAATTGACACCATAGACTATATCAAGATTATAAAGTATGACAATAGCTTTGTATGTTGTTCTTAATCTCGTAGTACATTTATAAACAAAAATCTAAACAAGTATGTCTAACTTAATAAATTTAATTAAAAAATATATAAAGATTTGTTGTATATTGTTGTAGTAAACATTCAGGGGCTTTTTTAAGACCTTTAAATGTATTGACAAGTTTGACACATATACAACGAAATTTTAACGAGAATTAAAAGGTGGCGCTTAATAACATAGAAATTACTTTTGACCGAAAACAAAATTGACGCGAGTGGGGCTCGAATAAACAAAAACATTATTTTTTTTACTATTACAAAAAACAAATTATCTTATGACTAAAATATGAAAAAAAAACATAATTTAATCTTAATAGTATAACTTAATAAAAACTGGATAAAATAATGTTGTGTGTGTAGAATAGGATCTTACTCAGTTTATATCAGGCTCTTTGCTGACCTGAAACTGATTTTCAGTAAGTCCTTAGCTTAGATAGCTTTTACTTTGCGCCAAATTGAATATCCTTCGTCACTTTTATAAGTTCAATTTCATTAATGAGGGAATTAGCGTTAAATTTTGTATAGGTCTTTATCTTTTCAACTGCGTATACGTCACTGCCGGATTTAAGAGTATTTGTACCCGCGACAACTCGAATTTGCTCCTTCGTGAACCTATAGTGACGATATAAGCTCGTCATTTCGAATGTTAAATAAATACTGTCTTTAGTATATGCGAGTAATACTCATTTAAATAAAACACTTTAGCGGTTACGAGACATATATTCGTTAAACTTATTTTAACTACGGCCAAATATCAAAATTAAACGCAACAGATGGCGCTAACGTAGCAGTTTTTTACTTTGTCGTCAGAGACACCCTCCATCTTTAGTCACCCCGTGATCACTGCTGGTGCAAAGCATCCAAAACGTCGGGCCGTAGTTAAATAATTTTCAAATAAGTTTAACGAATATTTATCGCGTATTAAGCCGTTTTATCCGGCGTTTATCAGCCGTTATGAACTGTTTTATCCGAATACTAAATAAGTTTATTATTTTAAATTTGCATTCATAGGTAAGTATAAGTAGTTTAGTTTTTGGTTATCTTGAATTGCCACATTTTCCACTATTTGTCGCAGCGTGATGTTTTGTATCCAACAAACACAAAAAGGGTAATTGGATTCGAACCACTAGGTCCTGAGATTAGCGCGTTCAGTAAAACAATCTCTTCAGCTTTGTAATATTAGTATAGACATTGGTAATAGTTATTATGAGCAAACTATAAATCAATGTAACCTTTTGGGAGACACATATTTGCTTTTTCTTTTTGTATTTTGTCATAAGGAATAATAAACGAAAAAAGAACTCTAATCAACATGCAAACTTTATTTCGCCTAATACACCGTTGTTTTATTTTTAATATTGTGCAACAGCTTCCGAAATATTTATTGACAGATGAATTAAAAAGAAAACATATTAAGCTAGGACCAAATATTTCAAACATTCTATACAATGAAAACATTCGCTACCAGATGGTGACAAACTCTAGAAATTAACGAAAATAGGTTTGAAAGTCCTCCTTTAGTCCTTAGCGTGCTTCTTAATCCAGTCTACGTATGAAAAAACTCTAGTGAAGACGTCGGGTCGACCCTGAGCGCAAGGAATATTCCACGACGTAATGCCCACTAGAATTTTGTTTTCTGTAAGTGGACCTCCCGAGTCACCCTAGACGAAAAAAAACGAAATTGTTATTGGTACTATGTGCTTCTTAAGTTTTAAGTACCGTCTATACTAATATTGTTAAGCTGAAGAGTTTGTTTGTTTGGCAGCGTTAATCTTAGTTATCTAAAATATTTATTTCAATTCGAAGCGGAAAACAGAGATAAATGTGGAAAAAACGTGAAAAAGTGGCTTTCGTGGCGTGCGTTGTAAAATGATATATGAAAGAAAGATTCCTCTTTGAACGATCTAAAAAATGTCCACTACCCACACACAGTATGTCCATGCATTGAGATTAACTCCCAAGATCGAAAGGACGCGGACGACGTCATAGATAACAGCTAGTCTTAGATATTGCTGCAATGCAGTTTATAATGATAATGAAAGAATGACAAATAAACAAACTTTCAATAACATTGTCATCTGCCCATCTACAATTGGAACATTGGTTAATGGCGCTACCGTAGCAGTTTTTACTTTGATATCATAAACACCCTTCATCTTAAGTCTCCCCGTGACCACGCCTGCTGCAAAGCATCCGAAACGTCGGGCGCGTTTGTAACCGATAAAGCGTTCTATTTAATCCAGATCTTTCAGACGAAGTCTAATATGTATCAGGAATATTTCTGATGATATAAATTGATTTTAGAAATTGCTGGATCCGGTGGGATAGATTAGTCATGTATTATTACTAGCTGAATTGACCAACCTGGCAGATGCCCATTCTGGCTTTCTTGAAGGTGCAAATTTGGTTTTCTGTTATAGGATTGATATATCTGTATATTCTTAATTCACTCTCTTGACACTTCTTCACAGAAAGCGATTTGACGGTAAGCTTCTGCAACTTGTTTGGTTGACTGTGATAAATCTGGAATAAAACATACGTCATAGGTAAACATTGGAGACTAAATACTGTCTGTAGTTAATGCGAGTAGTACAAATTTAAATAAAACACTTCAACTGTTTAAAAAGCGATAGATACATTTTAGTTACCACGGCTGCTGCAAAGCATTCAAAACGACGGCCCGTAGATAAAATAATTTTCAAATAAGTTTTACTAATATATATCGCGTTTTATTTAAACATTGAAGGCTATAAAACTCCAAATATCTAATAAGAATTAATCTTATAAAAACATCCTTGAGACAATTATCAATAAGGTCATGCATGAAAAATAATTTAAGTAAAAACAAGTTAACATTTCGTGTTTTACACTGTTAAAAGTGTTTTATTAAGAAATAGATGTTACTGGAAAAATTTCAGTTTTGAATTGGTTGTGACATGGTGGTTAATGACAGACCGCGACACGAAGAGCTGGAAGCTCACCCGGATGAGGGGTACGCGGAGCGAATGACCTCGCCTTCGCCGGCGAAGGCGGTTTTGCGGTCGATCGGCGCCTGCGTCGACGGATCGCGTTGTGACTAGTGTATGGACGGTTTTGGTTAAGTCATCGTCGGGGTCGGTGAAAAGGCTTCGCACCTTCTCCAGTGTGTAATGACGGAAACGGTGTTGTTGGCGGCCGGGCCAAGTGGGTTTTTTAAAGAAGTGTACGGACGTTTCTTTGAAGTACCGACTGAGATCGGCGTGGAGGTTGGCATTCCGCACGCACCAGATGGCGTAAGAATCTGAAATGTGGTGGTAGCGAAGTGATAACTTAGAAGCCTACTTACGTCAATATAACCCCATCCTGATGTAACTAACTGAACATCTCCGCCTGTGTTAGAGGTTGGCAACGAGATAGCTTTTACTTTGGCACCAAATTTAATGTCCTTCTTCACTTTTATAACTTCAACATCGTTGGCGAAAGACGTGTTATTGTATTTCTCATGGCGAATGATTTTCTCTACTTCATAAAGGTCACCGCCGGAATTAAGAGAATTCGTACCCACGACAACTCTTATCTGATCCTTCGTGAACCTAAAGCGACGAAGTTCCTTATAATCTACACTCTGTAGTAATATATATGGCTGAGGAGTTGGTTTTGTGTGAAAGCGCCATCTCAGGAAGAAGGTTCGACTTGAGAAATTATTTTTGTGTTGGTTATAACAACTGTGACAAATAGGAGCAAACGCAAGGGAAACCCAAAATATTAAATATTTTTTCCAATTTTTCCTCATCCTCGATAAATACTTGAACCAACACTACATTTTTCAATTCGAACCAATAGTTTCTGAGATTAGCGCGTTCAAACAAACTTTTCAGCTTTATATATTAGTATAGACAAATATAATAATTCTCTGTGCATACTTGACACTACGTACCTTTCAGTGCAATGGGCCGCTGACAAAATCCATCTAGCCGACAAGATAGATCCACCACAAAAATGATGCCATCCTTTACTATACTTTTGCCTAAGTGACACCTGATGAGGGAATTCACCATCGACTGCTTCGGATCCTCCCACGATGCGAGTATCCGTTTCTTGAGTCACTTCGTCAGCTTGAAAAAACAATAGCCCGACGTCGTTTACGCAAGTAAAAAAAAAAAGATTAAAACACTTTTAACGGTTTAAAAAGCAATATATACGTGTTAAACTAATACTATTTACGTTTTAAACTGTCAAAATATTTTACTAAAAGTACGCTGATTTTGTCGTCAGCTTGAAAACAAAAAGTAGCCGGATGTATTTTACGCGATTAGTACCTACACATTTACATAAAATACTTTTAATACAATTCACGTTTTAAACTGTTAAAAGCTTTTACTAATACTAATCTACTTTTTCGTGAGCTTGAAAAAAAGAAATACCCGGATGTAGTTTACGCGAGTACCTACACAATAAAATAAATACTTTTAACGGTTTAAAACACAATATGAGTTCACTAAGTTACATTTCACGTTTTAAACTGCTAAAAACTACTAACACTACGCCGTTTTTTGTCTGTCTTTCGCGGTGACAGCTAGAGGATTAAAATTTTCACAGCACCAAGCACAGTATGTTCCGTAACAATGACTAGATACACAAATTTCATATTGTAATGTCTTTTAGTTGCATACAGGTCTAGCTTTTAAATAAATTTAAAATTATTTACGTATTTTTTTCAAATCTACGGAGCCACATCCGTGGGAACATTTAGAAGCGGTTCTTGACATGCATAGATGAGAGAGACATAGGTAGCGAAGTTTTAGAGTAAATGTCATAATAGAAAAACTTCATTTGTTCTATTTCAATGTAGATTCAAAAATAAAAAGTTCTTACCTCGCACGCCGCTTACCAACGCCAACGCCAAAATTACCAACAATATGAAATCATTGGGCATTTCGCGAAACCACTCACTGAAGAAGATTAAATATCTCACCGAACAACGGCTTTTTATATAAGGGGTAATGGAGTTATATATCAACCACTGGTTATAAATTGTAATGAGGTTAATTATAACGAGGGTATTACTAAAGGTAAGTGTAAACTGACTTAAAAAAAGTGTTAGAAGTGCCAATCTCTCTTCATCAATTGTTAAACAAGGTATGTATAAAAGAAACAATATTTTAAAAGGCTTTAAAAAAAAATACCCATCGAAAACAGAATGTAAAAAGAGCCGAGTTCACCGTAAACAAAAATTGTGATCTGATTCAGCCGTCGTCCTTGGCAAAATCCAAGTATGTACTTATAGAAACAAAATAATATTATGAATAGAGATGGGCCGAGTACTCGATTGATACTCGGTACTCGTCGGGCTTTTTTATACTCGTACTCGGCCGAATAACTTAACGGTATACTTTGTTTAAGAAAAACAATATATTAAGGTAGATATAATTACAACAACAGTATTTATAAGTAATTTAGGAAAATTTTTATTACTAAAACCAAATTATGCTAATGAATGAGTAATAAGACAAAACTACGAAAAGATGTGATCGAGCCGAAGTTTGACCGGCGCGAATTTGTTTGTACTTTAAAGTACAAACGCGTAAAGTGAGAATTTGATTGAACCGAAGTCCTCGGCGGACTACTCGTTTGAATAAAATTTGAACCGAGTAAAACGCGGTACTCGTTACTCGGCAAAAGTGTTACTCGGCGCATCTCTAATTATGAAAAAGTAATAAACTCTATTTCTTTGCTATATTGGATATGTCGAACCATTACTGTTATTAAATGTGAAATCTTTTAAATAAAACACTTTAACGGTTTAAAACGCGATATATTAGTTAAACTGATTTGAAAATGATTTTTAACTTCGGCCCGACGTTTCGGATGCTTTGCAGAGCCGTGGTCACGGGGGAGACTAAAGATGGGAGGATGATCGCGTTTTAAACCGTTAAAGTGTTTTTTTTAAATGGGTACTACTCGCGTAAACTATAGACAGTATGTGAAATCTTGTTTATGTTAAATAGGTTTAAAGTTACAGAGGCACAAAAGCAGCACTAAATGGTTCGTGTAAAGATACTCTAAGGGCTGCTTAGCCAGTTCCTTTGCTTGGACTCGGCTAGTTACAGTACACCACGTGTCTTAATATTTGTCCCAGAATGTAAAACCACGTTTTCCCCCGTGGAGCATGGGGCAAATTTCTGTCTGTTTCACAGATCGGTTCCTTTACAGGCAAATAGTTGATAACTGTGCCGGAACAATCTACTGTTTCCCTAGTATTCGAACGCAGGCCCTCTCGCGCTTTGATCTTAGCATAATTAGAAGTAAGTATAAAAATTCAATGTACGAAGCCCTTACGATACATGCGTAAACATTTTCTTATCTTAAAGAAACAATTAATATTTAATACTAATTTATATATATAAAATGCTCATTAGTATGCAAGTACCAAATAATTATTATTAAAAATGTAATAATTTTAATACAAGTGGATAACAATTATTTACAATTATTTTTAAATATAGATCCAGAATTAATTACTGATTAACTATAGAACACATATACATTGCATGGACTGGAAAAATTATTACTTAAATATCTATAGTACTATATACAGCAAAAGAGTTTGTTTGAACGCATTAATATCAGGAATTACTGGTGTGACTTTTTGTGTATGTATTGAGTATTTATCGAGGAAGGCCTTAGGCTATAAAACACTGCGCTGTGACTAATAGGGGCAAAGAAAAAGCGAGAAATATGGAAGCGAGGAAAATTATTTATCTTTGAGGGCTCTCGTTGCGTGCACTGCCAAAACGGTTACTACCCAATATATGAAACGGTTCTAGATCCCCTTTTGTATGAAAGAATGATTCCTCGTTTAATGATGTAAAGAAATGTCCGCGACCGACGTCGGGGGCAACAGCTTGAATCTATAAAAATAGCTTGCAAAAACTATGATATTATGATATTGATGCCCAAAACTATTCTACGCACAAGAAATCGCTGATAATATGGACTAGCTGTGCCCGCGACTTCATTCGCGAGTTATCGTATAATTTATTTTTGCAATATCTCTTTTTTATAATTTATAGCTGTTACCCACGACGTCTTCTGCGTCCCGTCGTTCTTGCGAGTTAATAAAAGACAACTGTCGTCGCGGACATTTTTTAGTTAATTTGAAGAAGAATCATTCTTTCATACGTATTCTTTGGTTTCTTGAACCGTTTTCGCAGTGCACGCAACGGAAGCCCTCAATAATTTTCCCTGTTTTATCCACATTTCCAATTTTGGTTAGCTGTTAATTCGGGCTCGTGGGTCTAATGTAGGAAAAGCATAGCTTATTATGGCCAACCTCCAACTATTAATTTATAATTTTTCTGATACACAGTGGACCTTCGTCTGGATATTATTGATAATAATATCAATAATATGTGAGGTAGGATGACAAAATTCCGAACCACTGTACACAGTGAAAAAGGCGAATTTTCGGTTTTATATTGTGGATTTGGAATTTTCAGTGCCATAAATCGTCGCAAGCGCATCTTGTTTAGATGTTATATAGATGGGCTGTTTAACTTTCATCAAGCGAACCTAATGTTTGTCTGTGCCTCTATATTAAAGTAAGTTAGCTACTTACACGAGAGAAGTATATGTCTGTGTTAAAGTAAGTTTAGTACCTACAAACGTGAGGTATACCCCTTTGTTTCTTTCAGCGTTTATGACGTCCAGTACAAAGCTGTATATCATTTAATTGAAGGTGACATAAAGAATGGAGGAAGAGCTCAGAATTGGCCCATTAGCCAATTACGGAGCCCCTGTTTTGGCACATCCTCGCACTTGAACGGACTGTAAGTTCAAGGTCTGGACTGAAATAATTTAGTCCATAACACGACACACGTATACGTGTACTAAACAATTTAGTATTAGTAGTAGTCTGTTGTGTAAACGAAATTAATATATTTTTAACGGTTTAAAACGCGAAATATATTAGTACATTTATTATTAATCAGTGCCGTGGTGAAGGACAGATATAAGATATCACTTTTTAAACCGTTAATGTTTTTGTCAAAAAATCAAGTAGAGTAGATACTGTATGTTACTATTTTTAAACCAACTAATATAGATTTTATATTGAAAATCCCGATACCACCGGCGGGGCTCGAACCTAATAACAGAGGTTTTGAGGTGATTAGTTAAGGTAGTGCGTTTCTACTACAACTTAAATTATTGTTACCATTGCATATGCACATGAAAGATTTGTGTTTGTTGCTTTGATAACCGTCTATATTAGACAACCAGGTAGAATCTGTATCTGGTCGCAATTTGGACATTTTTATTAATTTGCGCCAGACAAAGTCTTACGCATCTTAGTAAAAATTTAGAGCTATGCTTTTTATTACCGCATTCTTTATTTCATAAGATCGTCGTTAAATACTGTCTATAGTTTACGCGAGTAGTACACATTTAAATAAAACACTTTAACGGTTTAAAACGCAATATATTAGTTAAATTTATTTAAAAAATAATTTTTAACTAATATATCGCGTTTTAAACCGTTAAAGTGTTTTATTTAAAAGATCGTCGTTGTTAATAAATTGCACTTCTCGGCCATATGCATCCATGCTTTGTTATCGTAGTCGCAAAGCCACTTGGTAAAACTAATTTTTTTAAGATCTCATGGTTTTTACCAAAATTTGGGTTAAAACTTAAAACTACTGGAATATTGAGGCTAAGTATAAGAGACATGTTAATAATGCGTTGAGAGCTTTAAAAGCTTTGAAAAGCTTTTGACAAAGGCTGTGATCAACCAATCTGTTTGAGGGACTATGTTTGTTTCCATTGTTTTTATACTTAAATAAGTTACGTTGCTAAAAAGCCTTTTTTAATAAAAAAAAACAAAAGTCATTTTGTTAATTGTGTAAGGCTTTCACGGCCATCGTTCTCTCGATTGCTCGAAAAATTAATTCTTCGCGCAATCGAGGAGTTAACATCTCCTGATGATGCCGTCCACACGCGATGGCGAAACGTCGAGAACCTCTTCTCGCTCACATCGGCCAAACAGCCCGAAAGACAATGCAGTCATTTTGTTATAATTATACGCGTATAATAAGACGCGTTTAACGGTTTAAAATCGATATATACTAGTTAAACTTATTTGAAAATTATTATAACTACAGCCCAACGTTTCGGATGTTGTGCAGCTGCCCGGGGAGAATAAAAATAGAAGGTGTGTCTAATGTCAAAGTCAAAACTGTTACGCTAGCGCCATCTGTTCCGTCGAAGTTAGTACTTGGCGAAACTGGCCGGGTCATTGCATAATTTGCTAACAGTATCTTCGCGTTTGCTGGTATGCTGTTTTTTGGAATCCCAGGTGTCTGATAACATGAGGCCGTCCTATTAACATTTTTGTTTTTCCTTAATTTCCCTCGTGATATTGTAAATAGATGGGTCGTAGTGAAAGTTTTTGGGAGGCCTATGTCAAGCAGTGGACACCGGACGGCTGAAACGAACATTAAAAAAAGTCTTACAAGACATTATTCGTGGTATAGTGGAAACAGTTCATACTAAACCGAATGTAGGAAGCCAGTAGGCGATGTGGACGTGAAGCCTCCTTAACATCGTGTCGCCGCTAGAAAAACAATAGAAACACTAGTATGTCAAGCAATTATCGTCTTTAAAGTTTAGTTATTAACTATGTCAACTGTGTGTAGTGTAATGAACTAGTAAGAGTCTTTGTCGATAGAATTTTAAACTAGCTTGCACATTATGAGAGCCTGGTAACCAGCGTGGAGATGTCTAGTGTGATGTCGGCTTATGCTATGTATTTAGAATACAAATAATGAATTCTATCTGTAGTTTACGCGAGTAGTACACATTTTAATAAAAAACTTTAACGGTTTAAAACGCGATATATTGTACTTGTTTGAAAATTATTTTTACCCGACATTGTCTAGGGTGTTTGTCTGTCCTTCTCTATTAAAACGGGCTGATCCCCGATAAACTACTTAAATGTAAATAAAATCGATAATATGTAAAAACATGCAATATTTTTGTTTCATTATGTCTGTCCTTGAGTTACAAAATTAATACCGTTTAATTTTCTTTTATGTGTAATTATTTTAAATATTAATTACAGCATGTCGTAGTATAATAGTATATTAGTCGTGGTCGACACGTCGGGCCGTAGTAAAAGTAATTTAAAAATAAGTTTAACTATTATATTTCGCGTTTTATACCGTTAAAGTTTGGCCACAAACGTACTACGGACAGTATTTAACACTTTTTATCGTTGAATTATGAAGACCACTTCATAAGCTCCTTAGAATACCGGTAACTGTCAGTTTGTCGTGTTTGTGCAGGCCCACGCGTGGTGCGACCTCAAGAGCATGGGAACTGTGGAGAGGTTTATTTTTGTATGTGTATTTATCCACTCGTATTGTCGACATGCGTTAATGTCTTAATAAATTTAGTTGTGGCTTAGCGCCAGTAAAACTCTGTGTTAACTAAGTATAAGCAAATATAATCAATATTGTACGTGTAAAATAGTGACAATGAAATATATTAAAAATAATCTTTATCTTTTTTTATTGATATTTTAATAAATCTTTTCGCATTTTTAACTGTTAAAATGTTTAGTCTAGTCTATAATTTACCAGTGTAAATATTTAACTGTAGCAGTTTTTAACGTTTAAATTGTTATATTAGTTGAACTTATATTAAAGATTTTAACGTTAGTAACGTGTTTCGATCTTATATATGTAGCGTTGTAACGATACGTCCCCGCTTTAAATATAAAATCCTCCTTTAAATCACTTCGGGGCATTGATGCTCAGCCGTTAATACTAAAATTCATAGAAAAATTGTTTGATTGATCTTTGTTTGGGTAAGTTCGAGATCTAAAACATGATATTATGTTGTGTTAAATCGCTGGGTTTTTGCTTAAATGGGTCGATAAAATATGAATTATATAATGTTAAAATTTACCTTACAGTATCTAGGAACCAGTTTTTTATTTCAAAATCTCTTCTTTCGTTTGGAAAAAGACTTATGTTACGATGTTAGTGATTGTGCAGTTTTAAGAAACAAATTTTAATTAAAAGTAAGTTAACTAATTTATTCGTATTTAAAACCGTTCAAAGTTCTATTTATAAACAAGCTCTTGTATTGATAACTTATACTAATTACGATTGCTTCCAGTGTCTTCTAAGTTAAATCCTAGTCTGTAATTCTTCTAGTTGGGTTAATTCTTCTTCTTTCACTTCCTACCTACGATATAAAATAGCCACCTCCAGTAATTGTAAGAGGACAATTTTAATAAAAAAATACGTTTTTAATTCAGCAGATATTGTTTGGAGCGGTTGATAAATTATGAAAGAAGTACTATACATAGAAACGTCGACATGTTTTTATAATTACTAACCGCGGGGAATCCCCATACGATTATGCACCCCTGACATGCATCGATGCAGTTGACAGGTGATTCATGGTTGTTCGTTTTGCGCGTTTAAACCATCGATCGTCATAACGTGTGTTAAATACGCGTACATATAACGAAAATTACTAACTTAAAGCTACCAACGCTCGCATATATTGAAGAAAACTGTCATACCGACTTAAGCGACCGAAATATTTTCTATGATAGAGGAGAACAGACAAGCACGTGGTACTCTAGATGGTAGGTGAAACGCCTGGGATATGCATGCGCTATCGACCTGATTTTGGCTTTGGATAATCGGAAATTCACTTAATTCGACTGAAAACGCAACGAGATTAAACTTGACGGCTTTTTCATGTGTGGTTTACACATATAATATCTCGGTTTTGAAATAAAACCCGACAACAGATACAGGTTGAAGCTGTTGGGGATCGAATCCCCGACCCGTTGATTATTAGTTAAACATTGCTACTAATAGACGTGTCCGTTAATCTTGAATAGTTTTTAGCAGGCAACTTAATCATGTAAATTTACTTCGCACTACTTTATGTGAAAAAATATTTTTTTTTCGGTCCGTAGTTAAATTAAATTTAAAGTAAGTTAACCCTTATGTGTCGCGTTTTAAACCGTTAAAAGTGCTTTATTTTAAGATTTCACTTATTTTTAAAATTTGAATAACTTTCACTGTTTAAAACGCAAAATATTACATAATGACATGTAGTTCGTGAAACAATGGCACAGTACTCTGTGATCGTAATTTCGACCTTTTGTATTTCTTAATTTAACTACTCAATAAATAATCTATTACCTACAATAATAATATTCATATGATAAGACTGAAATACCGTGAAAGCCTTCGCGATGTCTCGGATTCGAGTTCAGTATTTTTTGTCATTACTGAAATAAACAGACTTCAGATACAAAAACACATACATTATTGGAACGCAGTTTCTCTTTTACATTTTGTCGTTGAAAATGTAAACTTGATCGATCATTTCCCGTTTAAAGGTTTGTTCAACTTTATAAATAACATCAGTAATAAATACGCGATTTATTCAAATAATTCTTTCGTCACTCGGGCCATTACTTAAATTGGTATCTTAAATTGCATCACACGGGAATCGAACACATCCTTATTTAAACGGTGATCTTGTTTTGAGCAACGACTATTATACAATGAAGTGTCTCTTAGGGCAGAGACAATCAATTGTAGAAACGTTGTTGCTATAATATTAAGTTTTATCTGTAGTTTGTGCACGAGAGTAGAACACGTTTAAATATAGAACTTGTGACCGGTTTAAAATGCGAAATACATTCGTTCGAAACGACGGGTCATAGTAAAAAACGTTTAACTAATATATTTCGTGTTTTAAACCGTTGAGAGTGTTTTATTTAAAGAAAATACAATCGAGGAGTGTGTGACCGCGGCTGCTGTGAAGAAAGCGAAACGTCGGATTATATTTTAATAATGTCTAATACATTTCGCATTTAAAACCGTTTAAAGTGTTTTATTTAAAGTATGATACTTTAGTGATTTTATATATTAAGTATTTCTTCGTTATGTGTGTTATCTTTAAAAAAATAGTCAATCCTTACTAATATTATAAATGCGAATGTAACTCTGTCTGTATGTCTGTCTGTCTGTCTGTTACTCTTTCACGCCAAAACTACTGAACGGATTTGAATGAAATTTGGTACACATATGGTCTAGACCCTGAGAAAGAACATAGGCTTTTTATTGCGAAAAGGTGTAAGGGGTTAAAAAGGGGAGTGAAAGTTTGTATGGAAATTCGTGGTTTTTGAAGATAGAACATTAAAACTTTCTTCCTTGGCTATTTGAGAATAGGAGTGGGGTTGGGAGTGGGAGTGGAAGTTAGAGTAGGAGTGATGTGAGGTGAGAGTGTTGCGGCAAAGTAGCACTTACAACATAGATTGGCTGCGATAAATACGCAATAACATAAATTAATAAACAGCCTAAATAATTAAAAATTCTACCCCAAATCACTATTCCATGCGAACGAAGTCGCGGGCACAGCTAGTAATAAATAATTTGTCTCTATTTACCAAGAGATGGAGTTACTTAAACTAAGAAATAATTACGGCGCTTGCTGGCTAGCTAGAGGATAAAAAATATTTCTATTTACCTTCAAAAAACATTTATTTACACATATTGTCATGATGTCCTAAAATTAAGCTGATAACCTAAATTCTTAAGCTATAATTAAAATAATATCACATTTGTAACTTTCGTTTATATTTTAAACAGTAAAAACAGTTGTTGAAAACTAAGACTCTCTTCGTTGGAGGGATTTACGTAATGCAAGACATTGAAATTAAATCACTTACTTCAGAGGATTTTGCATATAATTTCGACATTAGGATACTCGTATTAATAATAATCTTGTAGTTACTGCCTCCAAGACGATCCGTCGTAATTGAGAAATTGTTTTCGACGTTTCTTGATCACGACTGGCTCGAAAAGGCAAGTAATGCAAAATGGCCGCTCTAATAACATTCTAATAAGTTTTGGAATTATAAGGGAATCGTCTGTTGTTCATCGAAGCAGGCAGTTTGGACTGTATGCTGGCTCTCGGTCATTGCTTTGTCTTCCAAGTTTGATATCGTCTTGAAGTTTTTACATAGCACGACAACCTGCAACATATGATTCGCATTAGAATGAAGACTAGTGTTGAAATTAAATCATAAGAAATGGCTTCTTGTGTTTTAGGTATAGGATAACAGAAATGTCATCAAATTAAACGCAAGTCAAACTTGATTGGTCGCAATTTCGATATTTCTATCACCCATTCTTTATTCAGATTTCCACACGAAATTCAACGTTAGAGAAAAATATAAATTAATTAGAAATATGTTGGGCTCGGTGGGGATCGAACGAACCTATTAATTCTGAAGTACTTAAACAAATAGGAAAGAGCAAGTGTCGCCATCCCAAACCTGGCGGCGCGCGTTAGGTTAACGAGGAGGCGGATATACTGAGAAAGCTTGGAGCGAGTTAGACTTAAGACATATACAATATATAAAGCTGAACAGTTTGTTTGTTTGAACGCGCTTATCTCAGGAACTATTGGCTCGAATTAAAAAAACTTTTCGTGTTGGTTAGAGCATTTTTCATTTAAATACAGCATAAAGTACAAGCATACTAAATGGTTTGTCATACAAATGTAAATAAAGCTATATGAAAATTAATATCTTTATATTTAAATGGTTTTTAAAGAAGAAGGCAATGGAGATACGTCTTTGTACCAAGTAGCCGGGGTGTCAACATAATATGTACTTTTGTCGCTTATCTAGCTTAAACTCACCGCATATAACAACGTTGATACGCCTATGACCGCGCCGGTCAGTACATCCCACCAGTGGTGTCGTCGGTCTGTTATCCGCGTCAGGGAACAGATGGCAGCATACGTCACACTAGCCATTTGTAATACAGGGACAAGGAAAACGGTGCGGTGCCGCCAGTCAAACGCCCGCTTCTGCAGGTACCACTAAAATTTAAATTAAAACATTAGTTTTAAAATAGCTTTATATACAAAAAAATCATTTATTTACTTATGGACGTCAATGGAATTCATTATATACAACCGAGAATTTACATTTACTACCGGTTCTCAAATCAAGGGCGTAGGACGAACGAGAAGAACTGGCTAGAAACTCGCCGCTACTCCTATTATCGCCAAGTTCTTATAACGAATTCCGTACGCACTTAAAGTATACATCTTTTTCATTGTTTGCTTAATAAGACATTAATTTTCAACCTTAGCATTCACTATTCACTATTATTTTGCTTTAAAAACGTAAGGAATCGGTAAAGAGAAAAGTACAAAGCATATGTTTCAAAATAATTTGCAACCAAAAAGACATATTAATATTTACCGCCATAAATAGTCCACAGTAGACGGACAGTGACGTGTGTCCAGACGGAAAGCTGTGATATGCGTCCGTTTGGTACCACGAGGAAAATCTTGTTGATGTGCATTCAAATGTGCTGACATATTCCGACCTGAAAGTGGAAGTATTTAAATTATTATTTTCATGTGACAGTCTATAAAAAAAATAGCTTTTTTATATATCATTTTGTATATTAATCTATCTTACATATATTCTTCGCCAGGCATGAAAACCGTCCAACGGTTTATCTATGCCTTGAACTCTTTAACATGTAATCTAATATTTAAACTAAATAATATATTTTTTATTCCCTTCTTACTTTTTTTTTACTTACGCAATAGGTTTACATTCGCACTTCACTAAAATGTGCCATAATTATATTTTTTTAAGTTCGTTACAACTTATCCACAATATTTAAATTTTTTGGTATTACTTGTTATCTGATAGGGACAGATTGAAAATAAGCTCTTAGCAAGCCTTGTTAAGCACATGCTGAGTCTTGATGCCTTTTAGCACAAAGTTAAAATTGTACTTTTTTTTGTATTCTTCTAATTGTAAGGTTTTTTTTATTACTTATTTAAGTTGTAAATTATGTACTTTGTGATAATAAACGGATTAATAAAACTACATAACTAATGAACTAAAATGTGCTTGGGAATTTAAGCATTATTTTGACAGCCTTTTTCGTAATATACCTAGTAGTAATTTTCTACCAAATAATCAAATGATGTCACTTTCACTGATCGCCTAATACTGCAAATACTGCATACTAATATCTACGTCATTAGTTTCCAACCACATTCTTATTCGTTTAATAGTTAAACCTCCCAAACTATGTGGCTCTAAATTAATCAAACACCAAAAGAGACACAGATATATGTTTAGCCTAAGGTCGTATTTAAAGCGAGACGTAATTTCAATATTGAATCTATTAAATGAAATCTGGCGATAAAAGAAGTGGCGGCGAGTTTCTTGCCAGTTCTTCTCGTTCGTCTACGCCCTTGAGAACTGGTAGTAAATGTAAATTTAGAGTCTTTAGTTAACTGATGTGACGTTCATAAATGTACCTACGTGAAATTGTCTTTGCCCCTTAACTTTTGATTCAAGCTACTAAAACATATTTATTACCCGTTGCAAGTTTTTGCCGTATCCGGTTCACAAATGTCAAAGAAGGTGGGTCTTGGATTCCCAGTGAGACCTTTCATCACCTCCACGACACCCAAATTGAAGAACAATCCGTACGCGTAGCTTCGGTATATATACAGGGTGGTTCTTGCTACATGGCGTAGTCTCGTCTGCGTGTTGTACGTTGAGTTGTGAAAAATGTATTCTGTTACAAATACCTGAAGAGAAACATTGTAATTAAAAATAGTTATAATAGTGAAATTTATAATGGTTGTAACTTTTAGTGGCTTTTAAATTCTCGTTGGTGTAATGGTAGCAAGGTACGGCAAACGTGGGTTCGATCCCCACCAGCTCCAACGTGTTTCTAATTAATTTATAGTTAGTCTAAAACATGTTGGACTTCAGGATTAAATCTTACCATCCTACCTACCTACCTACCATGAAGTAAACCGTATGCTTTACTGTCCTCCCCTGCCATAAAACAATGTAACTTCTGTGCCCAGCCCCCAGAAATTTATACGCGTTTAAGTTGTAATCGAAGGAAAAAAGTGTTATCCAGTTTCTAGTGTCCCCGGGAAACGAACCCAGGACCTCTCGCTTTTAACGCAATGCTAGGCAACACGTTTGACCATTTTAATTATGGCTACAATTAAGGCAATTAGGGCGGTTAAAACAGGTTGTAGAAATATTAACAATTAAATAAAACACTTTAACAGTTTAAAACGCGATATATATTATTTAAACTTATTTGAAAAAAAATTAACTATGGTCCGAAGTTTCTAATAAGAGAGATCGCGTTTTAAACTGTTGAAGTGTTTTATTTAAATGTGTACTATTCGCGTTAACTACAAACAGTATTTAATATTTACTTACTAATACAAATGGGCAGAAGATAATAGACAAGACGAGAACTAAAAAAGAAACTGTGTCTCCAGTGAAGGGAAATGATAGACCAGGATCATTGCAGTAGAAGCCGTTTTTGTGGTGCGGGATCACGCCAAGCTCAAACAGACCCACGAGGAGACAAACTGGGGACAAAGATATATTTACTTTTCATTTGATTTTTCTTAAATCGGTAGATTATAATCTAGTTTAACTTAAAGAATTAGTTAAGGTGAATAAAAAAAACTAAACCATTCTACATTTATAAAAATGTGGCTAACCAACTAGTATTCTTCTTCCCTTTTTCTATTAGAAGATCGGGGTATTTCTTTGTAGTTACTGTTCACGCGCAGTGGTCGTGAGTGGAATCCCGTCCTTGTGATCGTAAATTTCGTCTTAAATTTATTTTTTTGATTATGAGCTATCGTGTCCAATCGTTAAATACGTAGTCTACGCGAGTTTAAATAGAACACTTTTAACTGTTTAAAACGCGAAATGTATAAATAAGTTTAATTAATACATTTCGCATTTTGAACCGTTTAAAGTGTCTAATTAAAAATAATAGCAAAAAAATGTATATTATAGTTTTTTTTTTATTATTAATCTATGGTCCAAACACGTGAGGATTTTTTTAATCCATAGCAATTGCGCAATTGGCTCCAAATTGAGCTGACATTGACTTTGAACCTAAAGTACCGGACGCAAGGGTTTGCCAAATAAATTGAACGACTCGTGTGCGAATGGCCACATCAATGTCAATGTTGACAATTGACAACCTTTTTTATTTCTTAAACGGCGATTAATAGAAAAAACATTTATATGTATAAGCTGTGGAAAGTTTTCGCGGCCATTTTGTAAATATCGTCTATTCTTTGTCGCGACTTCGTCCGCGTGGAATAGACAAAATAGTTTTTGCAAACCTCCTCTTCTCCTTTAATAGCTGTAACCCACGACGTCGCGACTTGTTTTCCAATGAAAGGGAATCTTAAAAGATATACATAAACTGTCGCAAACAACTTTCATCGTTAAAAAGGAATCATTCATATTTTTTGGGTAGGTATTCTGAACGGTTTTCGCAGCGGAAACCCACAAAGATGATAATTTTTCTCGGTTTTTCTACATTTATTCGCTGTTCTTCGCTCGTATTGGGCGCAGCCTGATATTTTATAGCCTAAAGCCTTCCTTCAAAATGGTCAAACCGACATAAAGTTTTTTTTAATTCGAACGAGCATTTCCTGAGATTAACTCTTCAGCTTTATATAGTATAGATTATTTGAGAATTACCTCGCATATGATGAATTTAAATGCATGTAAGAAAACAACCTTAGTTTATGATATTTTTTGCTACTCCTCAATAGATGGCGCTTCAATCTATCATTATATAGTATTACATTTATTTTCTTTTATTTTATTCTTTAAAGTTATTCGCAATGATTAAACGCATTGCAAAGTATTTCTTTGAGATGTCCCGGGTTCGAGGCCGGGATAACTCAATAATTTATTCGCGCAGACCTCGGGTCACTTTGCTTGTAGATACGTCCACCAAAAATACTAAAAAAATAGGTAAAGTAGGAAAAAGAGCTTCGAAAGATGCGCTATCGACCTTTATATATCGATATCTTTGCTTTGGATATTTGGAAAATCACTGACTGAGACCGAAATGCATTTATATTTCACCGCTTTTTTGTCTGTTGACAGTAGTTAGTGATTCGGTCGAAATTTCGATATTACCATTACTATCATCCACTTAATATCCAGATTTCCAGACGAAGTCCAACATGGCTTAGAAAAATTACAAAGTGATTTGAAACATTAGGTCGATCCACGGCCCGTTGATAATAGGCCGTACATTACCATTAGACTAACGAGCCAGTTAAAAAATACAAATTATTAAATAACTGTAAAATAATAATATATCGTCTAAAGTTTACGCGAGTAGTACACATTTAAATAAAACACTTTAACGGTTTAAAACGCGATATATTAGTTAAACTTATTTGACCCGTGACCACGGCTGCTGCAAAGCATCCGAAACGTCGGGCCGAAGTTAAAAATCATTTTCAAATAAGTTTAAGTAATATATCGCGTTTTAAACCGTTAAAGTGTTTTATTTAAATAATACATCGCTAATGATTAACGTAAAGGACGGTAAAAGTGCGTTGACGCACACTATTGTTGTTTATTTTCCTTTTATGACTGCGATTGGTGGCGATCCACCACATGGTGGGGTCTCACATGTGTAACACAAGTTCTTAAGTCTAAAAATACATTTACCAATTTTTTATCTACATATTTAATAGAGATACTCAAAAAGTTGGTCCCTATTATTGTCTTCACGTCACGATCCGACGAGTGTCGTGAAGACAATAATTGAATGCTTCAATATAATATGTACTATAGTTTACGTGAGTAGTACACATTTAAATAAAACGTTTTAAAACCTGAACGGTTTAAAACAGGAAATATACTAGTTAAATTTATTTTAACGGCCCGACGTTTCGGATGCTTTGTAGCCGTGGTCACGGGGAGACTTGAGGTGGGTGTCTATAATGTCAAAGTAGAAACTTCTACGCTAGCGCCGTTTGTTGTTTAAATATGTTCATAATGCGAAAGTTTTGTTTGATTTTTTGTTATGGTAATAAATTATATTTGTAGAGACAAAATAAGTTAGTACAGACCAAATGCTCGCTCACAAGATGTGTTGTTTATCTATTTTGGCTTTGTATATTGTCAGATAAACAGACTGAAACCGCGATTCAACTTCAGAGCTTTTCCAGATCCAGCAGATTTTCCAGTTTAAAATGGTTTTTAGACACGTTTTGGTGAGAATAGAATCCACGATCATTATCAGTCATTGCTACCATTAGACCCCCAACTTTTACTTTCATAACTTATAATAAATACAATTTTACTAATTACATTTAAAGTTTTAATTTCCAAACCATATTTAACTATTAATTTATATTTTCGATACATGTTGGACTTCGTCTGGAAATCTGGATTTCAAATGGGTGGTAGCAATATTGAAATTCGACCACGTCACGAACCACTGTCGACAGATGAAAAAACCGTGAAGTTTAATCACGTTTCAGGTTTCAGGCTGTGGATTTCCGAATATCCAAAGCCAAAATGGGTCGACAGCGCATCTGGTTATTTCACCTACAACGAGTGAACAGCATGGGGCTTGTCTTTCCTCCTGTGTCATTAAAAAATATGAGATTGTTCTGTTCTAACTTACCTAATAAGAGGAGAGGGAGATCTACAGACAGAGTCCACCAGATGCTCCGCCCCCCACAACGGCTGCTGTTCAGCTGAGATTCAAGATCTTTGTGCTGGAACAAATGAAAAACAATATTAATAATTACAACATTTAGTTAATTTTACAATACTAACAAAATTACAAGTTTAACGTTGTATCTATGACAATTTCTTTTACATATAAGTATTTATACTAACGTCGGGCCTAAATTATAAACGAGTTTACTAATACATTTCACGTTTTAAACCGTCATATGTTCTATTTAAATACTAGTCGCGTAAACTACAGACAATGCTATTTAAATAAACCAATAAACCACTCTTAACGGTTTAAAACGTGAAGTATATTAGTTAAGTTATATATCATACAAGCACTTTGCGGAAGCCGTGATCGCGGTGGGAGTCATTAATATATTTTGCGTATTAAACCGTTTAAAGTGTTTATTAAAAAATACACATAGACATTATTCGACATTTTATAGTGTCTTCTTATAGTGGCGAAGGTCTGTAGCTCATATTTTGAATATGTATCTATCACTTACTTCTCTTGTATTAAAAAGTGGTTTAGAGGAAGACGCTTTCTGCATTGGCTGCAGAATTAAGATACAATATGAAACAGTCAACCACAAATAGCAAAAATTTCTCAAAAATTTCAAGAACCGCAGTATAAAATGGAAATAAATAATGCCGAATCAGACGTGTTAAGCCAACTGGATTATCTAAGTGGGCACAATGACTATTGTAAAGAGGTCGTCGATCGTATCAGGGTCAAACCGTCGTAAGTATAAGGCTTCTTATATAAAACACTCTTAACGGCTTAAAACGCGAAATGTATAGGTTGAAATGAATTTGTGTCCTAACATGTTTTTAAAAGCAAATTATAATTTGGGAACACAACACTACAAATGAAAAATTTGAAAATAATCTGTATATTAGATCGCGTTGTAAACCGTTAAAAGTGTTTTATTTGAACTTTAGTATGATTAAAAAAAAGAATTTAAATTAAAAAAAAATTCAACACAGACAGGATTTGAACCTTGCTGTTGACCTAACCAATCGAACTACAGTGTTCTACACGAAGGCTTTTTTAAAGTTATATTACGCCATCATGTGCAAAATAGCATGTAAAAAATAACATCAATAACATGTAAAAAATATGAAAGTTTATTATGGTAAAAAAAATACTAAGGAATCAAGTTGTATCTACGATCATTTCCGATCTTATCTTATTGAAAATTGAATCTTAAAAATTAAGTATATCTTAGTTTATAATAAATTGAGAAAAAAATGTTTTTCAATAAGTTGGTAAATAAACAAAAAACATTTTGTTTCAGTCTAGATCCGTCCCTGTGCACAAGAGTAAGTTAATCTAAGGGTCAACTCCAAGGTCACAGCCGCCAAGGTCAGTCCGCCCTTGCAAGGTCGAGTACCTTGAAGGGTCCTAACGGTTTGAACTTGAATTTGTCGAGTATTTACGTCAGACGGTCCTTATATAACTAGAACTGGTAATATCTTTGCACTTGAAAACTTGTAGAGCAGACAACTTCTATTAAAAACTTGAATCTAACTATACTAATATATAAAGCCGAAGAGTTTGTTTGTTTGAACGCGCTAATCTCGGGAACTACTAATTCGAATTATATAATATTTTTGTATTGGTTAGAACATTTATCTATCATAATATAGAAGAGTTGGGCACACATCGATGTGACTAATAGGAGCGAAGAGATAGCGGAAAATATGGAAAAACTGAGAAAATTATTCATCTCTGTGGGTTTCCTGTGCGAACAATGCGAAAACGGTACAAGATACCCAAATAAATGTATGAAAGAATGATTCATCATGATCTTGAAAATAACGTCCGCGACACTGTATGTCTATCTTTTAAGACTAACTTGCAAGAACGACGAGACGCGACCGACGTCGTGGACAACAGGTTATCTTATAAAGAGAAGGGAGGTTTGCAAAAAAACAATTTGGATGCCCAATATAATTATTCTACGCGGACGAAGTCGCCAACGCAGCTAGTGCTTTTATATACGTCATGCATATATAATAGCCACGTACATGAAAACATTTTAGTGATTGTACACGTATTTTTTGTTACAAATGAAGTCATGATTTGACAATTTGATATTGTGTTATCAAATAAAGGTTTTCGCCCCCCCCCCCCGCCGGGGGGGGGGGGGCCGCCCCGGGGGGCGGGGGAAAAAAAAAATTTAAAAAAATCCCCCCCTTTAAACCCCTAAAGGTTTTTTTTTTTAAGGGGTTTCCCCCCCCGGAAACTATAGACAGTATTATGTTAACAAATTGTCAAACCATGACTTCATCTCAACACTATTAACAGATATCAATATTGTCTATAGTTTAGGCGAGCAGTACACGAGAATAAAACGTTTTTAATTATTAAACGCTAAATATACTACTTAAACTATGTTTAATTTGACATGATAGACGAAAACAGGTAAATATGGTTCATGGTTCACTTGATGGTAGGTGAAATACGTCTGCCACCTAACATCTCAAACCAAATGCGCTGTCGACTACTTAAATCTGGCTTCAAATATTTTTATTTAATCTTAAAAAACACGATGAAGTATTTGAAATAAATTAAAGGCAATTTAACTAATATAGTTCACACTTAAAAACCGTTAAAAATATTTTTACTATTAACGATACACATATCTTGCGTTTCAAACCGTTAAATATTTAAATATATAATGACTTCATTAATTTATCTTAATTATTATAATGAGTAATTTAATTACATTAAAAAGTTGAAAATCGATTATTGCTACCAAGGTAGTAAGTCGGACTTAAGTGTAACAAATGTCTTGTTAGCCAAAAGACCTAAAGGCCTTAAGTTCCAGGTTACTCTAGAGTGGATCGGTGGGCTTTACCACTACTGACAATAACTCTCCTCGGCACGCAACACTAGGTTATTTTAAATATTTAAAAAAAAAGAATTCTCAAAATGACACCACAGAGAGAACTATCATTTTCTGCCTACCCGTGGCCAAAACCTGGACCGTGGAATCTCCATTCGAGTCACTAACCACTAGTGACACCGACAAGACAGTCATGTATAAAGAATGTCATTAATTAATGTCATTGCAAATTAATGAACAAGCCGTTAACTGAATTAGGCCAAATACACATCATTAAGTGTAATTTGTATAAATTTAGGTCAGATTATAGTAATTTCCATGAATTTCTGACGCTTACAGGTAAATACAGGAATGCATGACAAATTACTTTTGAGGTCGACTTTAAAGAAAAGGGGAAATCCAATAAAATACAATTATTGTTTACCTTGCATGGATACTAAATATCTATACTAATATTATAAAGCTGAAGAGTTTGTTTGTATGAACGCGCAAATCTCAGGAACTACTGGTTCGAATTTAATAATTATTTTGGTGTTGGTTGGACTAATAGAAGCGAAGGAACAGACGGAAATGTGGAAAGGGGGGGAAATTTAATTATATTGATGTACCGTCAAGTGAGCCCCCATCTCTCTCCTCCTTTACGATAAAAAAAATATATAAATATCTATATCTATACTACTTAATATATAAAGCTGAAGCGTTAGTTTGTCTGAACGCGCTAATCCGAGAACTACTAGTTCGAATTAAGAAAACTTTTTTGTTGATTAGAGCATTTATTGAGGAATGCTTAAGGCTAATATAAATAAGGCTGAGACTAATTGAAGCAAAGGAACAAATGTGGAAAAATCGGGGAATAATTTTCATCATTATGGATTTCCGAGGCGTACGCTGCAAAAACGGTTCAAGATACCCACAAAATATATATGAATGAATGATCCATTACTGCCTATACATAGTTTACGCGAGTAGTACACATTTAAATAAAACACTTTAACGGTTTAAAACGCGATATAATAGTTAAACTTATTTGGAAATGATTTTTAACTTCGGCCCGACGTTTCGGATGCTTTACAGCAGCCGTGGTCACGGCCGGGAGCACGTCTTAAACTGTTAAAGTGTTTTATTTAAAGAATGATTCATCTTTAAATAATCTTAAAAAAAGTCCGCGACGCTATATGTGTATCTTTTAAGATTAACTTGCAAGAACGACGGGAAGGGACACGGCCAACGTCGTGGGTAAGGGGTTCGCAAAAACGAATTTAGGTCCCCAAAATAATGTTTCCCGCGGACGAAGTCGCTGACACAGCTAGTATGTTATATAGCTGGGGTATACATACATCCTGCTTGTCTGTCCTTCTCCTCTATCATAAAAATACATTATCACATTTACAAAGTATTAAAAAAAAACGAATAATCCTTACTTTCTTTCGTAGCGGAACACTTCCATATTGAATTGGCATTATAGTATCGTTGTAATAAACACCGTTCTCACTAGCAATCTTTGACGACTTACTTCAAATAAATGGCTACGATTATATTATTGTGATAGATAAATATTATCTTATCCGATGTTAGTCATGAATTTATTCGGAAATTGATTTATGTTTTGTATGTATGACCCATCACAAGTAGACAGACAAAAAATATAAACAGATCGTGGAAAATTGTGTTTTACTTGAATACGACAATTTTACTGTATATTGTATGTAATTTAGCTATTATATATTTTAGGTGGTATGGCTATTATATACCCATGGACTGCAACCGAAACGCGATTAAACTTCTCGTCTTTTTCATCTGTGGATAGTGGACGTGACCCGGACGGATTTTCGATATTCCTACCACTCTCATTTAATATCCAGATTTCCAAACGAAGTCCAACACGATTCAAAAAAATAAATTGATTAGATACATGTTGGACCCGATTTGTATCGAACGCACGGTACCCGATGTTTATTAGTGGCACATTATTACCGTTCGAGATCCTTTGTCCCAGGGCTGGGGCAGATATACCTGGCTCAAAGTTACCTTAAAATTTGACGTCCGTTTGATGGAAGCCATTTTTTGCAATCCACGTAAGCTTGATCGAAACACAGAATGATTTTGAACCATGTTGACAATAAAAAAAAATTCGGGTATCACTGCACTCAACAATATCCTTTTCCACAATTCTCACTCGTTCAATTAAAACGTTTTAATATTACTATTCACTTAACACAAACGTAACAAACAAGGAGTTGCTAAATACTAAAAGGCTGTTTATTGCAAAATGCACAGCTCACAAAACTATGACTGTACAGGAAAATTTTAAAATAATAATGTAACTAACATGGTATTATGTGATTTACAGTGTTAGTAATTAATGATATAAGACTAATTAATTATTAATTTATTCATTGAAATACTAAATGGGGCCTTTCTTGTTGAGACTCGAACTACCAATAGCGTACGTTATCGTTGTGCTTAAAACATTGGTTGTCAATTGTCATTTATAAAAAATCCAAACTTTGGCTTAAATAATTTATTTTCGCTAAGAATATTCACGTTAACGAGAAAACAATGATTTTTTTAACTATTCAAATTATTTTTAATATATATGGTAGAGTAGGAAAGACAAGCGCGAAGTTCACTTGATGTTAGCTGTAATACCCAAGCCGTATAACATCTAATCAAGATGCGATGTCGATGTATTTTGTCTTTGGATATTCAGACATCCACAGGACATATGTTATCCTTACTACATTTACCTATAACTGTTGGTATCACAATTAAAAAATATCTTATTTATTGATAACAGACATGGACAGATTCAAATTAACTAACAAAATATATGTTATTCGAGTGTTACAGAAAGATTTTTTTAAATAGACTTAGAATGTTTAGTCGCGTGTAGAAATAAAACATTTTTAACGGTTTAACGGAGTTTATGAGTTCGATGCTTATCGGCAGTTGTGGTCACTGTTGTACGTACGAGTGTATTTATTTAATTAATATACATTTAGCATGAACCATTAAAGTGTTTTGTTTAATTTGATGTTCCAATTTTTAAATAATAAATATCTCATTCTTAATAGCTCAATCCGGAAGTTTGAGCTAATCAAATAGAATGATAGCTCAATACGTTATGACTTGTGACAAATGCGGCATATACATCAACTAAGATGCAGCACTGCAGCACTTTGAATATTAAATAAATCGAACGCCATAAATTTGAGCTACGTTGTGCGTTATCGTAAAGATTATCTTTTAGTACGATCTTAACCATGGACGGCGTCATGCAATATCTTTGATTTTATTTATTTTTAATATGGAATTGACGAATACGACTTGTTTCTAATTCAAAGTAAAATGTTGCAAGGTAGGGCCCGACAAAAATTAAGAGATTTCACCGATTTTATATTGTCACTATGACCAGACGAAGTGTAACACGTTTTAGAAAAAAATATAAATGGTCGTTTGAAACGGGTTGAATTCGGCGGAAATAGACAATATGTGAATAATAGACAATTAGTGTAATGATCAATTAATGTTTTTTCAATTAATAAATAAATATTGTTTAACAACAGTATTTGGCCCCCCCCGGTTTAAAACCCCCCCCCCCCCCCCCCCAAAAATTTTTTTTTTTTTTTTTTTTTTAAAAAAAAAAAATATTTTTTTTTTGGGGGCCCAAAGGGTACTTTTGACCCTAATAGATAAGTCGGTGAAGGAATCAGACAAAGAAATATGTCTGGATCCAACGTATGGGGAGCGGATTTTTGTTATTTGCTACTGCATGCATAATATCGTTTCATAACACTCAGCTGCAGGTTCTAAGTAAAATGATTGGATAATCTCTGGAACCAAACCATCTCTATCATAGACACATCTCTGCAACGAATCTATTACAGATGTAAAAATCTTTAAGAAGTTAACTACCTGTAGTATACCGTACCGTATAAAACATATTTTTAACGATATAAAACGCGAAGTATATTATTTACTTATTTTTATAATAAATAAATACATTATAAAGTATAAATTAAAAAGCTTTTTAGACTGAAAAAATCTTACGACACGAGTGTAACTCGAATCGACAACCACAGCCTTCTGTACTGCTTGTCGTTTTTAATTTATGTAATACCACCATGTCATCAAAATAGTAAAGATAAAAAAGATTTTCTTGTAGTTTGTTAAAATTATTGAGGACGGTTCTGTGCCAAAACATCCGTACCCCACTTGCCTGTTACTAGTGGAACAGACGGGGAGATGTGTTTGCCCCATGCCCCGCCGGGGGGAACGGCTTTCTCACACATCGTATGGTTACTTTTATAAAAGAAAAGACATGATTTAAGCAACAGACATTTTTGAATAAAACACTGTAACGGCTTAAAACGCGAAATAAATTAGCCGTTAACCTTATTTCAAGTAAGATATTCGCGTTTTAAACCGTTAAAATGTTTTATTTCAATGTGTACTACACGCGTAAACTGCAGACAGTATTCAATTGACATTTATTTTTATTGTTAAAGCGCGCCATCTATTGTCGAGTAGAAAACTCTGACCCCGTTCCATCGATCAAAGAATTTAATTATACAACAGTTTATCATTGTCTGTCAGTATTAACTGCAATTAATTTTGAATATACAGTTGGCAGTAACGAATTTACAATGTTTTCATTCAATTAAAAGATATAATTTGTAATTGCATATTGATAAAGGAATTCTTTATATGTTTGATTTCATATTGTGTAATACGTAAAAAATATTTATAACATATTTGTCGTAAAGTGGTTGTAATTACACCAAATTCAAAAGTATGTTCATTACGTACTCGTGCGATAATGTAATGTAAACGGCACGTGTTTTTTTTCAATAAAGTTTTAAGATAGGTACTCCGTCTAAAAATGAACGATACTTTTAAAAATCTTAGCAAAGAGGTTTTATGTCAAGAAAGTTCAGTGGTCAATATTTTATGAATAATATTAACTTTGGGAAATAAAATATAACAAATAAACATTTAATTCTTTAATTTAATTAATTTTGACAATAAATTAGAACCATTTATCTGTAACAAAAATATTAATTTACTTTATTAGTAATACTGGTGTTTTTGTACCTTTGCCTTAAAAAAAGTTGATGCGCGATCGCTTATTTGTGGACATGACATACGTGCGCTTTGAAAATTACAGCCTCTGCTTTCTTATAGTAATATCGCCTCGGCTGTAATTTTCAACTTACCGCACTTATATATATGTATGTTGTATACTGTGCGTTGTTTACGTGAGTAGTACACATTTAAATAAAACACTTTTAACCGTTCACAACGCGAGTAGTTAAGTTTAACTTTGTTTTACCTAGCTTGCTTCACGCTTGTTACTTACTTAAGTTTAACTAATACATTTCACGTTTTAAACCGTTAAATATATTTTTTTTAATACTTGTATTCTAAGATTTGCTCTTCAAGCGTCTTACACACTACAATATATCGGCTCTTTAAGGTTCGAACCGAAAGTAATACGTTTTAAGGCTTTAATACTAAGCTATTATTGTACCTAATGGTAGAATTATATGGATGAACAACGGGTTGTGGGTTTGATTACCAACGGATCGAAAAAAAAAAACATTTTATTTATAGTTTTTCTGAATCATCTCAGACTTCTGTTTCGTCTATTGATATCCAACATCGACATAGGTCGACGGCGCATTGTCCACAAATGTGATTATAGTAAAATAAATAAGTAAGTAAGTAGTAGTCTGTAAGTATTCACTTACGATGATGCAAACCGCAATTAAATGCGTCACATACTTGGGGCGCCATGTATATACTGGTACAGGGTGATTCCGTAAACCGGTCGTGGCAGCCGTGACTAGTAACATTCGTGCGTCATTATTCATTACAACGATGCATATCTATACTAATATATAAAGCTGAAGAATTTGTTTGTCTGAACGCGCTAATCTCAGAAACTACGGGTTCGACTTGAAACACTATGTGTTGAGTGGATTATTTATCAAGGAAGGCTATAAAATTATTAAGTAGGTTTTTTGTAAAAACCACGACGACATGGGTAACAGCTATAGTTTATAAAGAAGTCTTGCAAAAATAAATAATATGATGCCCAATATAATTATATCACGCGGACGAAGCCGCGAGCACAGCTAGTGCACTATGTTTTTAAAGCGAAGCGGATGTCGTATTGTAGTACAGTAGCATGAGAACGTATAACGTGTAACAATAGTTCCGTGCTTCCGAAATGAATACACATACGTTTCTATAATTGAAACGTTATAACACAGCTGTACTTATCTAACTATCAAAAACTTTAATATTTTCTCATATAAAAATGGGAAAATAAATTGAAAAATTGTACGACTCGGACAATCAATTGAGCTACCGAGACCGACACGTTCCGTGCTGTTGTTCTAGCCAATTGACCTACCGAGGCTCAGTCATCGTCGAATTTTTTCAACTTTTTCATGTT